GGTCACACACGCAGTCCGATACCCCCCTTCCCCCCCTACTCCCCCCCCCCCCCACAGACGTCACAGACAGGGATACAATTCCTTAGCATTCCGGCATACATAACAAGACAAACCATCCATCACAGACGTTACGGACGGTGGCAACACTGTATCACAGACGTGACAGACACGACAAATGCTGAACTCAAATATAAGAACATCTAGGTTTTGTATCGTATGTTGCACAAAAAACGTAATGCAAAGCACTTCTATCTTCTAATGAAAACCAAATATTACACAACAGCTTGTGAAAAACATATAGCCAAAAATGTTGCGTTTAGATTCCTAAGTTTAAATGATACTCATACATAATATTTCTCACAGCTCCTGTTTCGAAGTATCAGATAAATCTTAACCAAAAATCGCAACTATCAAAATTCAACAGTTTCATCGTGTTTCACATTTTTAATCCCCCAAGCGATTGCGCTGAAAGCTTTTTTCTCGAAATCAGAAAACTCGATTTTTATAAGCTGTTCGACACGTATAGCTACAAGGTACTGTGTTCAAACCTCAGTAACATCATCCATGAAATGACCCTAAACAAGTCACTAACGACTAAGTTGTCTAAAATATGACTCATTCCACATGAGTCATTCATACTGGCTACACGCTTAGTCAGTACGTTGGACGGAAGAGAGTGCAGATACCGCGGGCGAAAGCCTATGAGACGTTATTATTATTATCACCAAGTAGTCAGTTGATATGTTGTTCATTCATTTACAATTTATTTGCAATGAAATTTCATTTTATTAGAAAGAAACACAAAAGTCAAACTTATCATTAAGTAATATAACATAAGATGCAAAAGTAATTTGACAAAATCTCGTCCTTTGAATTTTTCACACACATAGTTCTGAAAGGAAAAGTTTTTCACTAAAAGATAGAGTTTCTTCTGCTCTTTCGGATTGTGTACAATTTATTGTTTTTATCATGTCCATAAATGAAACAATATGGCAAAAACGAAGTGTGTCTTCGAAAACATTTCGCACTTTTTTTATAAAAAGGTCGTAGAAAATGTTGACTCTTATATCTTCTTGAAAAGAAAATTTTCTCTTATTTCCAATGGTATGCTATTTCTTTTTTCATTCCTAATCACCGACTGAATGAAAGGAGACAAAAGAAAAATATTTACAATAAATTTACAGTTTTTTCATGAATTTATCAAAAAAGCTTCTTAAGAGTACCCTAGGCGAACTTTTTTTCTCATTCTTGAGCCAAACAGATCTCAAGATGTGTCATGATCTCTTGAGTTTCTTTCCATTGAGAAGCACTTGAACGCTTGCATCAGTCATGCACAGATAAATTACATGTAATATGCGGAATGCATGAGAATCACAAGAGCTAGACAGTTCAGCGCATGAAAACCAAGAATATAGAAAATGGTGCTCAATACGATTTACGATGTGAAAATGCTAAATTATCGACTAATCATTCTCGAGACAATGTTTTTATTTCGGACCGTAACTATACGTCTACGACAATTGGCCACCCATGTGTACCGAAAGATCTATAAAAATAATCATCAATAAAGCTACGACAGGCGTCCATTCCTCATGTTTACATGTTTTTTCATCATTTTCCGCGATGACGCGCGACGAAGGATTGCCATCATTAGCCTGAGATTGAGGTAAAATGTTATCGACATGTTCACCGTTTCGAAAGTTTTTCCAAATCACATTTCGTTTATTCTCGTGTCTTAACTGCCGAACAGATTCTTTGACCACTTGCCAAGTATCCTCACATAGTTCAACATCTGTGCGGAGTCGTCGATCGCGCTTTTTCATTGAATCTAAAGCAAGAGTTATATTAAACTACTGTACACAAACACTTGATACTCACTCTGAATTTGAGTAGCTTCCTAATTCGACCTATAATATGAGTGACCAATTCCTAGCACCCATAGAAATAGAAATAGATTGAGTTTTACTTATACATACACATCCCACACCCTCTATACACCCTCACAACCTTAAGAAGAAGAAGAAGATACAGTAAACATTTTTAACATAACTAAGGGCTCATCTAGCCCTAGTTTTTCACTACTACGGGCGCTTCAAGCCCTGACATAGTTCATTTCGAAAAATCTTTGATTCCAAGTTGTTCATTGTACTTAAGTATAATTAGAGTTTTTTGTACAGTAGTTCTGATGAAGTTAAGTCGAAACTTGACAGAAACTAGTCAATAAAGTACGCAAAACAAACAGCTCTTTTTCTCTCTTTATCTCAAGCAAATAATTCTTAGATAGAATATCGACTAATTCTTTTAAATAGGAACTAGTCAACTGCTTTCCTTTTTCATATAGTTGGGATTTTCCAACATGATCAAAGACTTTTAATAAAAGGAAAATTAGAAAAACTTGATTTCGATCTCACTACTGCTTATGGTAACGATCATTATCCTGAACATCTATTCATTTGGATCAATCGAAACTAAACGAAAATATCGGATGATTTTCTCGGAGGCGATTTACATCGAAAATACAATGTGTTAGGATCCGTATTCGTCCAGAAACCGAAAAGAAAGTCTAGAAGTCGATGAGCGGGCACCTTTCTCGTTTATTGCTCGCTCTCTCCTCGTCGAGTCTGTTTCAACACGAGGTCAACACGNTTGATCAAGAGTGGATCTTTTGATAAAAGATTTTGACGAACCGGTATCAAACATAATTTTTGTCGGAATTTGGTTTATTTTTGTTGTTATAAAAATGGGTGATGGGTTTAGTAGCGATTTCGTAGGATCATCACCATCGAACGATGATCCTACTGTTGGAAATGTGGACACTGACTAATAAAATGATCAGTTCCATCACATCTATAACATCGATATGGTGGTTTCGGTGTACGATTGTTGTTGTACTTTTGCTTTGACAGATAATTTGAGGCTTTTGCTCCGTGGTTGCTATTTTGCGTACTGTTCAAATAATCTGCTGGTTGCTTTGATTGTCGTGCTGGCATGGAACTTTCAGTTGGTTTCTGCGACGGTGTTTCGCTAGCTTCTTCATCATCAAGTGACTTCAATTCTTCAATCTTCTGTGCATATTCCAGAAAAGCTTCTGTAGTTGTTGGATTTTTTAAACGAATATCAAAGCGTAAAGAAGATTTCAATCCGTCTTTTAAATATTGCAGCTTTGAGGCTTCGTCCATTTTTGGATTTGCTTCCTTACACAACTTCATGATTTCAAAGTAATATTGTCGCACATCTTGATTTAATCCTTGTTGGTATTGTCGTAGACGATTAAACGCGATATCCGCTTTACTAGAAGATTCAAACGTGTCTAGTAGTTTGCGTACAAATGACGACCATGACGATATTGCATGATGATTATCAAAAAACCAATCTTTAGCATCCGATTCCAAACAAGATGGAATGTAAAATAATTTCTCGGTGTCGGACAATTTCAACAGGTGCATTGTTTGATTAACCTCCCGTAACCACTTTGAAACATTTTGTTTTGACCTTCCTGTAAATTTTGGTAATTTTTCGATGTGACCTAATAATAATTGATTTCGTAGTGAACCAAAAATACCGTCTTGCTTATCGTTCAACATCTGGCCTTGTTGCTGTTGTAAAACATGGTTGTGCAACGTAATTTTATCATCATCTTTATTTGCCTGAAAACGTTGTAAGAATAGTCTCATAAATGACAAAAAGGTCGGCATCTGTTCCTCGTGTTGTATATACCAAATGATGGCCTCACCTGTCAATACATTTCCTACCCATTTGATGCGTTCTGCCATTTCCACTTTCAATAACTCGAATTTTTCTAACAACCCTGTTAACCATTGTTCAGCATCACCAGTGCCTGTAAATTTTTGAAACGCTTGTAATCCTTCTTCGATGAACTCTTGATGTGTACCTCGTGAATGTGTGGATTGATCATTTAATTCATGACCATCCACCCTGATCACATCGGTTTGTCCCTTGCATTCATTAACTTCAGCTTGTTCTCTTAATAATTCCTCTGATACTTGTGATTCTGATGTGCTTCGGCCAACTTGTGATCTAGGCGGTGGAACATATTGAAGGTTATCGATCTTGATTTTTGAAAAGTCAAGAACGGAACGAGTTTTTTTTTCAGTCATTGCTAAATATTGCTCAGCTTGCCACGCGGATAAATTTTTATTTTTTTATTAATAAGGTGATAATGACGAAACAGATAAAAACGAAAAAAAAAACCGGCCAGTGCACCATTGTTAGGATCCGTATTCGTCCAGAAACCGAAAAGAAAGTCTAGAAGTCGATGAGCGGGCACCTTTCTCGTTTATTGCTCGCTCTCTCCTCGTCGAGTCTGTTTCAACACGAGGTCAACACGAGAGAATGGAGAGAAAAGAAAANTGTTTTTTGAGTAATTTTTCTTTTCCCTCTGAGTAGAGATTTCGAGAACGTGATGATATTGGCTATATGAATGTTTTTCTTCGCAAAGATGCTGATGATAGACGACGTCAACCAGAACGATTCCGATTTCCTGTTGCTCGTTTTAATCGTCGACAAATTCGTAGATTCTTCAACTGCTGAAGCCATTTCATATTCCTTTCTTTTTCTCTTACAGCTTTAAATGGTCCATTTTTCCATTTTATGCCACAAGTGCCAATATTTGCCGATCGACTAACCAAACAAACATTGATTTTCTCCGTGTCAGGAGGAGGTAAATGTCTCACTGCACTGACAATCATTTGTTCTATCTAAGAAGTTTAGTTTACATTTTACCACCACTGGTGAACACCTATGGTCAATTATTCTCCGTCGCAGAACTTATTGCATCTGGTTATGCAAGTCTTGTCAGCAGCGGAAGTTTACCAACTGGACCAATTAATATGCTTCCATTTTTTAATCCCACACCATGTTCGTCTTATTTTTTTTCTTGAATTTTCTTATACGTATGATATTATTTCATAGTAATTGGTCCAAATATTCCAATATTTCGACCAGGTCAAAGTGGTTTTCGTGGAAGTATTCGTACAAAACTTGAATCTTTATCCATTCCGAAAGATTACTATCGATCATCAAATCTTCATTCGACAATTGAGATGGATGAAAATGATAGTGAAGATAATGATGGTGATGAGGATGATTATGAGCCACCATCTCGTTCCTACAATAGACCTCCACGACGAACCACGACAGCAGGTAACATAATTTCCCGTGATTGATTCACTTTGTATTTGCTCTAACTTTAGTTGCAACTTCTACATATTCGAATACGATTGCGAAAGTTCAGAAGAAATTAAAAGAAGCCACGGTAAGATTTCTGAATACAATCAAACAAGGGATTTGCGTAGAAATGATCCTAAATGCCACTGTTCGTAATCAATATATATCATCCAATTTAATTGGTCGTGTTCAACCTGTTGGAACATTTTTAACAACTGACACGGCAACAGAATATTTATATGGTCTTTTGTGTGCTATACCAAATTTACCATTAAAATCAATTTTAATTGATACCCTAGATTTATTACAATGGGGATTTGATCCAAACTACTATCGAACCTTCTTTAAACTCCAAATAAATTTACAATCGACCAAAAAAATAACCCTTTTGACAATGATAGCTTTTGATGAACAATTCAAAGTATGTGGATATGAAGCTGTGGTCCCAAATGCAGGTTTAACATTAGATTTTGCTCCAGAAGAATATAGTTTTGTGATTTCAAATCTATGCCAAGCAATACAAATAACTTGTCCTGTCGGCTCATCAAATCAACAATATACAGATGTCAATGAATGTATTTCATTTTTGAGTGAACCACAAACTCCATTTGGATCATATGATCGAGCCGATCAAAATAATGTTGTTTGTCGATTAATTCATATTCAGTTAGCAGCAATCGCACCAGCTATTCATTGTCCACATGTTGGTAAAACTGGTGGAGGTGCATGTACAAATAAAACATCACAATCATATTTTGAAGGAATGTCAGACTTTGTCAGCTGCGCATATCAATCTCAAAAATAATCTTTCTATGTAAAACTGTCACATTTCGTATCTTGAAAAATAAAATCTGAATTTTTCTCAGTCTGTACGAATAGATGATCTTGTTTATAAAACTATTCTAATGATTAAGTATGAAGAAGCAAACAGTCAGTTGACATTCTTTTCCCTTTAGTTGATATACAGAGAGCATGTTAGTCACTTTCTCTTGTTTATAGAAGTGTCGTAAGAAATAAAACTCATTTTCTAAAAGTTTCTTACACTTTTTGAATGACGAAGTAGAGATAAAAAATTAGAATAAAATCGTTTCATCATCTAAGTGTATCCACAAGTTTTTATTACTTTCTCTTGACTTATCTCTAGATGCTCCGATGGTTTTCTTATACCGTGAAGTTATTCTCTTGACCGAACAGAAGGTAAACAAGAAAAGTCAGTAGTGTTAGATGAAGCCCAATAGCTCTCCGTGCATCGTCACTGGACGAACTATCTTCAATTGAAACTGAATATCAGATATTTTATGCATGAAACACCAAAGAGTTCTCCATCAAATAAGACCTGTACACGTGAAATCTTCGTTTTACCCTCTGTANATGGTTTGGATAATCACCTATTGTATGACACCATTGTAACGACAAACTGGTTGAGTAGCTGACCGCTTCTCACGGTATCGATGTTTATTGACTACTCTACATGACCAGAATGTATCTCTTTCACAGTACGACACGCACTTATATAGAGAAGAGGAAAGAGAGATATGACCCGGAGATAATATGATATAGAGGTGAGAGAATAAAGAATAGAAAGAGATGAACGATATCATTATCGTTACAACCATGGATTATGTTCGCCATTCTTTATTGTACACAACTGTATAAGAGACATGAAGGGGGGGTTAATAGAACGTGCCATTGATCTATCTTTTCCTTTTTCTTCTTCTTTGATATATTTTCCAGTATTTATATTATTGCTCCCTGAACTGAAAGGAACATGTGTACGAAAAAAACGGAAATTCGTGTGTATGTATGTATATCTGTCTGTTGCGGGACACAGGTGAAAGATCAGAGGTGAAAATCCACGGACTGGTGGTGACTTATCGAAGATAGACCAATGAGAAGCGAGATTTCAAAAGATAATGAAATTATACGGTGACTAATCCGAAGTCTAAGCGAAGAGTTTTGATGGTTGAGAGGTTACTAATGAGCGATCGGGACAAATCAATCGATCGATCGATCAAAATTTGATAATGATATAGATAATGCTATCGAAGATCAATCTACTTTTTCGATCAGAAAATGTTGTCAAGTTGAAGATAGCCCACACTTACAGAGAACTTTTTCCAAAGTATAGTGCTGGAATAGAGATGGAATATTCTGAAATAGGAAAGGCGATCAGGTAGGAGTGGCTAGCCGTGAGTCGCGCCGGTAGGACACGAACGAATGATTAGCTGTTCAGCACAATATTTTAGGAAAGAAAAAAGGGGAGATGAAAATATATTCTATTTCTCTTTTGAAACAGAGTATGACGTCTTATTAATGAAGATTGAACCTCAATTACTATTGGGAGCGACAAAACTTCTGAAACTAATACTGATACACTGCAGAGAATGATTGAAATCCCTTGACTTTGGTTACTTTTCTTCAGTCGAGGGTCAAGCGAGTCACATGCGACGAACTTTATTTATTCATATGATGGTATAGAAATAGTTCTCATCAGCAATATTCGTCACGAACTACGTATGAGAAGAAGTAATTGTCTTCATCTTTGAAACTTCGCTAAAATCAAATTTTCATTCAATGTGTAATGTGCGAAAACTTGAACAATTTCAAGGATCGACACCCTCACCCACACCCTCAAGATCGCAACTGATCTATTTAGGCAATATTTCTGATCGACAACAATCAATCATTACGCATGGAGATTATTTTGCTTACGGTGGTGGAGGTATTCTTCTTAGTCGTACATTAGTTGCATATCTGTTGCCATGGATCGATCAATGTCAAAAGAAATATTTAACATCGTTTGGTGGCGACGAGATGATTGGACGTTGTGTCACTGAATATCTTCATTTAAATCAAACACAAAATCCACATTTCCATCAAGTTGATCATCAAGGTGAGCTACGTGGTTATCTTCAAAGTGGCATTAATTGTTTAATTTCTCTTCATCATATGTTTGCATATTGGCAACCATTTCCTGTTCGACACACTTCTAACAAAAGTCAAACAATGTCATTGTTATCTCTAGGCAAGCAATGAAACATACTTATTAACATTGCGGACTATTCATTTTCAATCTTTTATCAAATCTTAACGTTCGATGATTTATTTAAAGTCGAACAGACTTGATGTTGTTCCAATGTTACTCGAAGAGCATTTCGAGCAGAACAGTTTCATTCTACACATTGGTATTTTGCCAACGCATCGAAAACGACAAGAACTCGTGGTATTCAATCAACGTATCAAAATAGACGTAAAGATTGCGTTTTCCTTCATATTCATCTGTTGAAATTTTTTCTACTTAAAGATTGATAGAAACAAAAACGTTAGATACGAATATATGTTCAAAGATGTACAGTGGTTCGAAGTTATCACATTTATGCATTTTTCTTTTTTCTAGACAAACGTTTAGATGATATGAATGTACTAATTAGTGTCGATACTTCTAAGATAGACACAAGGGTGTGAACATGAGATGAACTTTAAATATAATCACTCTGGAGATTAATAATTTATTTGAGTCTTTTTCACTCTCATGCAATACTAAGACGCAGGCTCCTACACTGGTATAACTACAGGTAAAGTTTTCAATGTCTGATGTAGGATGTGCCAAATGGCGGACTGCATAGCATGGCGTTAGTTGCCATCGTCTGAACTGTGCTCTTCGATTGGATTGTCATTATCATCATCATTGTCATCATCATTGTCGTTAGACTGCCGATAATCGACTGAATCGTCATTATTCCATTCATCTTGACCAAAATCATCGGTACTCAAAGTACGAATAGTCCATGCATCATAACAATATTCAGTATTGGTCATATAATCGTATGGAATATAGCAATATCCTTGATCACCCTGAAACATAGTTTTAAAGATACAATATCAAGAGACAATTATACCAATAGGCAACGGCAATCATTCTCATAGCTCGTCACAGACTTGAAATGGAATTACGGAAGCATTACGAAAACCCAATAAAGTCATTTTTGAGATAATGACAAATAAAAACAACTGTTCTTACCCAGTCTTGTCCCCACGAATTTCGAACAATAAATGATTGCGATTGATCACTATATCCAACTGCTAGAAGTGCATGACTAAAATAGAAAGATAGATAACTCTTCACTAAACAGAGTAACCAACCCTCCCAATGGTTGTCCGCTGAGTTCATCAGAACTTGGCATGCGTACAACACCTCCCGTTGTTGCCTTATTAAATGATGGATACAATTGTAATCCGAAGGCAAATGGAAACCCTTGTGCCAGACATGATTTCATTTCATTCAGGTCGCGATTCACTTGGAGAGCGTTGGTGATTTTGTGACCTACTGCTTCTTGATAAGCTTCATCACTTGGCTTTGTATTTACCTGTGAAATATCATATGGCCAAAAAGATTCGAGACAAACTCCGAATTCTTCTATCGTCTCAATGCCATCTGTTAGTGTAGCACCGGAGTCAGTTATATTTGATGGATTTTCCTTAGCACGTTCATTATAATAGATGAAAAGACGGCTGACAGCTATGTCATTACCCTCCGACTTCTTGATGATATATTCGTATGCACCTGAGGCAAGAAAAAGATCTAATATACATGCTAAAACATGATCCGAATTTACCAGCAAGACTGTTTGCCGTACTAAATTAAAAACAGAATTAGATGAGAAAAAGAAACTTATCGTAAAAATCAGAGATGAAATCTCTAGACGAAAGCTTTAAACATTTTTTCTCTAAGGAAAATCAGGATAGACTACATTTCTGAGAGAACCATCACTTTTCTCTTACCAACTTCCAATTTGTGATTGATCTTCAACAGGTGGCATATTTGGTCGAAAATCAACACTCGGTGGAAGTTGATCCGCACTATATTTTACATGATCACTAAAGTTCTGTCGTAAATGATGTTTTCCAGGCAAGCGTCTTGATCGATGAATCCCATTGAGACGAAATTGTCTACCGCTTTGACGATGAACCAAAAATCTCTTGAGAGGCATCGTTTTTTTGCTAAAAATACTCTAACGAACCAAAAAAGTACATTATTATATACACTTCTATGCATCACATCAATAGTCGATGTATTTGCCTATCAAAGTAGAAGGGTTGCTACGAAAGAAATAGTAATAAACATTTTTTCCCCTACTACACAAGTTGAAAGTAGTCATTCATTTTAGTCTCGTTAGTTATGTGCGCAATTGGCAACATGGCACATTTGTTTTTCTTCTTATGTCAACATCGTTGTTTGTTCTTAACATGAATGTCGCTGACATTCATTGGACGATAAATGAAAGGAATATTCGTCGTGACAGTATGGATAAAAAGAAAGGCTTTTTTTAGTTAGTTTCAATAGGACCTTCAGCTGCTAATCAATCCGCTCGTTAAATTCTAAACATCCTGATCATTTTAATATTCAATCTTGTGCTTTAATGACTAAATATTTGACCGATTAAGATATTTTTTCTGCTAATTGTAGATCTTTTTCTTCCATTCAATTCAAATACTTTCCATATCTAAATCACATGTACTTTTGATTTGTAACCGTATACTGGAAACAGATCGAAATCTATTAAGCAAATGTATGTTTTGAAATGTCCAATAGAGAAAGAAAAAAGTGCAAAGTAGATTACGTCGATACAAGTGAGAAAAGAGAAAAATAAATGTGGAAACTTCCGATTTCATTCGAAAGTTAGATGTGCTGCAACAAGCGCATAAGAAAGAAGACAAAACGAGTCATTGAGAAATATGAATTCTCTTTTTAAAGTTCATAATTTGCTCGTTCAATCATCAGTCTCATCTTCCAACTCTAGTGACCTTTTGATGTAACAATACACCATTGACCGATTCTAGTAATGTAATCGAAGATGATTATAAATCTAAATAACACATCGAATCTTTTCACATTCGATTTCTACATGTACAGACAATCTTATTATAACATCTTTGATTTTCCGAATATGATGTCTAAGTCTTATGTAACTATATCAAAGTATTGTGGAATTCGGCCGTTTTTCCTTGTAGGGCAGAATAGATAATTTTATTTTAAAAAAGTTACCTTATAACGATAGTATGTGTGGACTATTGAATTAAATCTTGTAGAAACATCCTGAACCGAAATAAGAATTTCATAAGGATTCAGAAAATCAAAAATTCGATAGACAAATTCCATTGGTAATGTATGAAGAGATGGAATGAATTTGTTAGCCATGTTGATTGATACAATATTTTTGACATTGTGTGTATGATGACATCGTGTTTTATACTAATGAAAAAAAAAATAATAAAAGATTTCTCTTGTAATTGTTATCATGAATTGACGTAAGAAAGAGTATTGGATAAAACCGTCTTATCTCGTTCTCTTCTTTACGCATCGATAAAGAATACAGGTCGATTTTGTGTCAGAGAGAGCACATTGTATCACTCATAATCTGTCTGTTCTATTCAATAAATAATAAACGATATTTCGCAATTCGGAGCTCGAATTAAAGCCAAATGTGTTTGATGAAAGTGAAGAAATTTGGGTGGAAACGGATGTTGCTCATCCTCGTTTTCATAATCATAGCGTGCAATGTGCTCAACAATCAGTCAAATGGAAATCCAAGGAGAAAACACGTCCTGAGCATTTGGACCCTTTGGTATCCTAAAAATACATCGATGATTTTAATGTATCTGATGCGAAACGTAAAGAACAAATGTAAAATAGTTGACCGTCAGTAATCATTGGCTTCCTTTTAGTTAACAATGCACAGCAATATTTCTTACGCGATCATTTCTCAGTAAGTAGAAGTTTTACCGCGTGGAAAGAAATCTATGCTACCTATTTTGGATATGTTTTCGAAGCGTATCGACACAATCAAACTGTGAAATCTCTTCTTACGCTCTTTTCAACATGTCCCAATGTAAGAAAAAAACAAAACAAGTGGTCTTTTCTGTGAAAGATTCTATTAGTTTACAAAAGACCTAACAGCACTATAACAATTCTGTTATCATTCCAGTGGCGCGAGTTTCGTTAATATTTTTCAAATGACTGGGTGTAACTGGATATTCGATGAACAAATGGCTCAACAGATTCATCAACTACTGTCACGAAAACCACATACAAAGTATTCCTTTGTTGACAACAAAAATCAGTTACTCGATCAGAGATTTTCCTCTATCAAAATTGAGACCTTTTGTTTAGTCAATAGGCTGGGTAATCATGGTGTTATTAAATTACTTGAACATCAATTTGGTGATCAAGGATATGATTTTGATTGATTATCCACCAGAAAGGATAAAGTATGCCATTTTCTTTTTAATCATAATGAAATGGAATTGGTTTTGGGTTTTTCTTTTAGAGATTGTGACGAGAAACAACGTCAAATTATTTTGCAAAATTCGAACGAAGAAAAATCGTATATTTTAAAACTTTACTTGAACTGGTGGAATATCGATCCATTGTTCTACTTCTACTCCTATTATGATTGTCTGTTTGAGATTTGAACTGAATTCAAAGAATGTCGAATTGATAATCCCAAATAAAGAATGGATGAATTGTAAATTTCAATCGAATTCACTAAAGATGCCAAAACTCTCAAGTTTGACTTCTGAAGGAGAACAATCTAGTCAAGTAAGTGCTCCGTGCCGATAGTCACTGAAGTTCATGAACTACGAAGAAACTAGTGCGATTGCAATCTTTAAACACAAGTTTACTCGATAAAATGCGATGAGGACTACGTAAACACGAGTACATATCTTCGTATCAGTAAATATAAGTGAGTGCATAACAATGTATCCCATCAATTCTAGAATACTTGTAGCGGTTATGGAAAGCAATGGAGTTACGGTGGAAGACACCCCTACCAACCCCCGGAAGTTAGCGGATGTTTCGTTTTTACTTTTGCGTTTGGTCGTGGTGCACCCTCATCCTCCCTTGGCGATCCCATGTGTTATAAATTCTCTGTATCTTTTCTATTATCTTCGTTGAGGGCGTATGATAAATTATATGGAGTAGAGGATAGTATCTGTTGATGCGTATACATTCATTTTGTATTGATACTCACGCACCTGTGGATTCCAACTATGTAAACAATTGAACAAAACTATTTTCCCTTGATCGCTTGAAATTTAATATTTTAAAATTTTGTATGCCGAACTGAAATCCTACCTGACTATAATAGACCCTTAAAAAAGGTCCAAATGTAGATTGTAGGGATTTTCTGTATCTATATAAAAAAGAACACATCGACCCTCAAGATGGAAGCGCAAGAACAGACATTAGCGAAACAACGAAATAATCTATGACAAGGATTCTGATACTCTTTGACCGTTCGGTTACTTTGAAATGTAAGTTGTAGATGAAAGGGTTTCTTTTCTTATCTCTATTTTATGATGAAATCGACCAAAGCTTTGATACGAATGGGTAAAAGTAATCGTTTTATCATCATACGACATGGTACTTAAAGGCAGTAAAAATGAGTATTATAAATCATATGTCTGATACTACTCAAAATTCATGTGACATCTGGAAAATGTCATAAACGATTCAATAGTTTTCGTCTTCCGATTTTTTAGGAATTCATAAAGATACTTGTAAAAGCTAATAAAACTTCAGTAGTCAATCCGAAAGAAATGTTTATCTCATGCACGTATTTCACAACGTGATATTCAAGTAGATAAATATCTCCTATCTTCAAATAAGTCATAAATTTATCAGAAATATAGATTTCTGTGACTATAAAAGACAGGTTTTTAACGCGTATACTATAAATATTTGTGTATTGTTTAACAAAACAATTCATCAATATGGTCGACTCTATCGAAAAAGCTACTGAAGATGAATATCAATTAGAACTAGAATGTATGGCAGACTCCACACCTCCGCAAACAATGAAACACAGGTAAAGTTGTTTTGACCATAAAATCAATCATATAGAGTCAATGTTTTAGACGAACATGGATGAATGTTTCATTTCTATTTCAAAAGAAAATCCTATGGATATCGTTTTTACTATTAGCGATTGTCGGTGTTTCTACGGTTGTTTGGATTTCGAACCATTCAACTAGGGAGAAAGGTAAATCAAAATGATATTCGAGAGAAATTTAAATAGAAAAATCCATGAATAGATATGGAAAATGATGAAAAGTTACCCCAATTACGATCATATACGTCGGAAGATGTGAGTATTTTTGACTGTTTTTTGAGTAATTTTTCTTTTCCCTCTGAGTAGAGATTTCGAGAACGTGATGATATTGGCTATATGAATGTTTTTCTTCGCAAAGATGCTGATGATAGACGACGTCAACCAGAACGATTCCGATTTCCTGTTGCTCGTTTTAATCGTCGACAAATTCGTAGACTCTTCAACTGCTAAAGCCATTTCATATTCCTTTCTTTTTCTCTTACAGCTTTAAATGGTCCATTTTTCCATTTTATGCCACGAGTGCCAATATTTGCCGATCGACTAACCAAACAAACATTGATTTTCTCCGTGTCAGGAGGAGGTAAATGTCTCACTGCACTGACAATCATTTGTTCTATCTAAGAAGTTCAGTTTACATTTTACCACCACTGGTGAACACCTATGGTCAATTATTCTCCGTCGCAGAACTCATTGCATCTGGTTATGCAAGTCTTGTCAGCAGCGGAAGTTTACCAACTGGACCAATTAATATGCTTCCATTTTTTAATCCAACACCATGTTCGTCTTATTTTTTCTTCTCGAATTTTCTTATACGTATGATATTATTTCATAGTAATTGGTCCAAATATTCCAATATTTCGACCAGGTCAAGGTGGTTTTCGTGGAAGTGTTCGTACAAAACTTGAATCTTTATCCATTCCGAAAGATTACTATCGATCATCAAATCTTCATTCGACAATTGAGATGGATGAAAATGAAAACGATAGTGAAGATAATGATGATGATGAGGATGATTATGATCCACCATCTCGTTTCTACAATAGACCACCACGACGAACCACGACAGCAGGTAACATAATTTCCCGTGATTGATTCACTTTTTATTTGCTCTGACTTTAGTTGCAACTTCTACATATTCGAATACGATTGTGAAAGTTCAGAAGAAATTAAAAGAAGCCACGGTAAGATTTCTGAATACAATCAAACAAGGGATCTGCGTAGAAATGATCCTAAATGCCACTGTTCGTAATCAATATATATCATCCAATTTAATTGGTCGTGTCCAACCTGTTGGAACATTTTTAACAACTGACACGGCAACAGAATATTTATATGGTCTTTTGTGTGCTATTCCAAATTTACCACCAAGATCAATTTTAATTGATACCCTAGATTTATTACAATGGGGATTTGATCCAAACTATTATCGAACCTTCTTTAAACTCCAAATAAATTTACAATCGACCAAAAAAGTAACGTTTTCGACAATGATAGCTTTTGATGAACAATTCAAAGTATGTGGATATGAAGCTGTGGTCCCAAATGCAGGTTTAACATTCGATTTAGCTCCAGAAGAACATACTTTTGTGATTTCAAATCTATGCCAAGCAATACAAATAACTTGTCCTGTCGGCTCATCAAATCAACAATATACAGATGTCAATGAATGTATCTCATTTTTGAGTGAACCACAAACTCCATTTGGATCATATGATCGAGCCGACCAAAATAATGTTGTTTGTCGATTAATTCATATTCAATTAGCAGCAATCGCACCAGCTATTCATTGTCCACATGTTGGTAAAACTGGTGGAGGTGCATGTACAAATAAAACATCACAATCATATTTTGAAGAAACGTCAGACTTTGTCAGTTGCGCATATCAATATCAAAAATAATCTTTCTATGTAAAACTGTCACATTTCGTATCTTGAAAAATAAAATCTGAATTTTTCTCAATCTGTACGAATAGATGATCTTGTTTATAAAACTATCCTAATGATTAAGTATGAAGTAGCAAACATAAGTCAGTTGACATTCTTTTCCCTTTAGTTGATATACAGAGAGCGTGTTAGTCACTTTCTCTTGTTTATAGAAGTGTCGTATGAAATAAAATTCATTTTCGAAAAGTTTCTTACACTTTTTGAATGACGAAGTAGATATAAAAAATTAGAATAAAATCGTTTCATCATCTAAGTATATCCACAAGTTTTATTACTTTCTCTTGACCCAACAGAAGGTAAACAAGAAAAGTCAGTAGTGTTAGATGAAGCCCAATAGTTCTCCGTGCATCGTCACTAGACGAACTATCTTCAATAGAAACTGAATATCAGATATTTCATGCATGAAACACCAAAGAGTTCTCCATTAAATAAGACCTGTACACGTGAAATCTTCGTTTTACCCTCTGTACTTGTATATCTCTCCGAATCGAAATGACTTCATAGAATGTTTGAGAGACAGAACGGATTTGACTTATGATTTTTTTTCTCATGTACTTTTTCGTTGGTAAAAAAATGAATCTTGGACAAATATTTGCGAAATATAAAATGATAAAAGTGTTTCGTTATCTGTTATAACAAATAGAACTTTTACCATGATAATCAACAGATAATGAATCATCGAAAGAAAGTGATACAATAGATCGTATTCTCATATATATAAATAGCCTAGCAAATATACTCAAACAAAATATTTTTAAATTTTTATTAAAAGAGTAATGTCTTTCAAATTGAATCGACCACCTTATGCTGATATGATTGGAATTTTATCTCCTCGCGTTTACGATACTTCTATTCATCATGTTACACATGAAAGACCATCGAGAACTTCAAGCCCATGTTTCATAAAATATTGTGATCGATTGATAAAAATTATCCTAATCCTTGGCCTTCTATTATTTTCTATTCCTCAAATCATATTAGCCTGTTTCAACTGTCCACTTACATATGAAAATCTTGGATGGATACGTGCATCTTTGTTTATGAATGTTCCATTCGTTTTAGGTATTTTTATTTTTCTTATTCGTAAACTAATACGTCGTGAATGGCCTTTATATTTTCATATTGTACAAATGGCTGTGGCCTATGTATGTGTACCCGGGTGGCATCTTTTCATAGATCTGTTTATTTTTACAGGCGCAGAAATGAATGATATTAGAGTAACACTTCAGAATAAGAAAGCTGTGATGCTGTTGTCTTGTCCAGAAAGATATTATCAATGTGTTTTTGGTATGATAATCATGCAATGTGTATTTCCAATCGTCCTCGTGATTGTTTCATGTATCCTCAACAATTGTTTTGACACTCGATCCAAATCTTGTGGAGAAAAGATTGAAGCATGGTATTATACTCGATGGAGACATTATATGGATGTTTTATGCGAACGTCATATCGAAGAATTCGTTTAAGAACAAATGTAATCATTCTTTTTCTGTCCGAAAACCTTTCATGATGTCAAATAGATATTCTTATGTATTCTCCTATACAAAATTTTCTTTCTAGATTTTATGTTGATAAAATGTTGTTCGAATATTTACCAATTGAATTATTTTATGAAATATTCTCGTATCTTTCTGGAGGTTATATTTTAAAAGCATTTTATTCAATTAATATGCATTTGAATAATGTGTTAATTGGATACAATCATTATATATTAGATTTATCTCAATTGGATATGTCGAAAAAAGAATTTCATCTAATTTGTTCGTTTTTACGATCAAATCAAATTGTTGGATTAAAATTAAGTGAAAATGAATTTAATGTTGTTAATCGATTTCTATTGACTTTTGCCAATAAACAACAAATATTAACTCGTCTTCGTTCATTTTGGACTGACGATACAATCGAAGTTGATCGACAATTTCTCTCAAAATTTGCATCAATTGTTAATTACAATCAACTTAGTTCCGTTCGATTCGATCGTATTCGATCATCCAAGAACTTTGTTCGATTCGATTATTCATTGAAATCGTTGACACATCTTGCTGTATGTTCTAGTAAACAATTTCTTCAATTAGTAAAAAAGATACCAACTAATTTAACTTTTTTACATATGTATTTTAATTCGATTGATGATATGGATCAATGTATTCGTTTTAATATTCATCAATTAAAATCATTAGGAATCGGTATAAAATGCACGTCGATGAATATTCAACAATTCATTAACAAATTTCAATATTATCAATGGAGACAATTAGTTCAATTGAATCTCAATTTAAATGGTAAGTTATATTTATTATTTTCAGTTGACATCATATTTCAAATTTTGATTTAGTTGACTTTCATCTACAATTTGTCATGTTACAAGATATTTTTTCGAATATGTTTAGATTAAAACATTTAGTTTTAATATTAAATCAACCATTAACAGCAGATAATGATTTATTAAATGGAATTGTATGGGAATCATATATAACAACATCACTTATTGATTTAAAAACATTTAATTTTCAATTGCCGACATCCAAAACGTCAGAACAACGAATAGATTCTCTTTTAAAAACATTTCGAACAAAATGGTGGTTAAAGAAAAAGCAATGGTTTATCGAATATGATTATCATAAACAACTACTTATAACTGTGCCATATTTTGCTTCGACTAGGTGTGATAATCGAAATACATATTCACTTGGTGACATTATGAATTGGGATATTTTCTATCGAAATATTAATCATTTACAAATAGATTTATCAGAATATGGAGATAATGACCAAATATTTATAACTGAACCTACTCGGCGATCACCACGCTTTAATAATTTGGATCGACTTGTATTGATTGGATATTTATCAGAATATGTTTGTAATCAAATTCAGGAACAAGTCAATTTGAATCGAGTCAAATATTTTAGCTTTGGATCAATAGCCGAAAGTGCAAATACATTTATTCGATTATTGGAAAATATGCCTAATCTTTATTACCTTTGTATTCGAGATTCAAAAGTTTGTGATATATTTAACTCATGGTCTTTAAGCTTTCCTTCGGTTCGTAAACTTATTCTTGCTGATTACGAGTCAAAAACGAGAACAGAACTGTTCCATCATTTGATTTTTCTCTTTCCTCGATTAACTGATTTAACAGTAAATTATCAATCACGAAGTATGATTCTCTATTTAATCAATGAATTTGTTCATCTAGAGAAACTCACTTTACATTTAACTCCAAATCAATATGCTCCAAATCCAACATGGATCAGTAAACATTCAAGATTAGAAATGAATGAATTCGAATCGAAAGTATTCAACTATAATGATCAAACCAAAAAGTTCATTTTGTGGATTAATGCCGAAATGATATCTCATCGTCAAACGCGAAGAAAATGTACAGTTCAATAGCTCATCTTTTTTTTTTTCAAAAGAAGTAAAAAGATAAAGCTATCCCAAGGGTGTAGATGAAGACGGTGAAGAAAAATAAAATTGGTCCTCACGTCTCAGATGAGTTCTGTGCTCGACGTCACTTTTTCGCATTGTCTGGTATTCAGAAGTGATGCACTATAGTGACTTTCAGGATGAAAACTGAATCATTATTCTCCATTGCATGATTTTGTAAATGAGAGTGAGCATCATTATGGATGATTCAATATGAAAGTATTCGATAAATTCCTATTCGTTTATTTTTTAAAGATGTCGCGACGCAAAGTATGACTGCGAAGCGCATGAATATCAAGATCAAATTATAGTTTATTTGGTACAGGAAGTACATGGATGTTAAAGCATTTTTCGTGAGTAGACAGGGTTCGTAGCGTTGTTTTACTGATGTTATTTTGTATAGGTGATATGGACGATATCCTTTCACAGTATAGATAGAGCATTTTTTGTTCTAACTGTGATAAAAAAACTGCTTTTTATCAAAACCTTTTCAATCTTTGCCATTTTGGTCCGAATTATCCCCAGATGGCTCTGCCACCTACAAATGCAGTTGAATATGAAACACTATTACTCTCACCCTCAAGATGCATAGAAAGTATCAGGAACTCTCCACCCTTCAGGACATGGATCAAAAGATGATTTTTCTGTACCGTATCCTCATCTGTTTGTAAACTGACCGTTTTCATCAAATATCCACTCACGAACTTTTTTAAATTGATTTGTTTCATTTGAAGGATTGTGATATAAAAAATATAGCGGATTGTTCACAGAATACATCAATACTTTCTTTATTTTGTCCTTCTTAGCATCTGCAGACACGAACGCCGAAGAATAATCGGTCGAGAATTCTTTAGCATAATTTGTAGTATAACTTGTACTGTCAATTGTTCCTGAATAAGGAATTATTCCATTACTCATTGGTCCGCTCTGAGTACGAATTGTATATCTGTTAATATTCTTATAAATACTTCCCTGGCTTCCTACTGCAGTTCCGAAATCATAATGTCCTCCAGCATTGATGAAGACAGGAAGAGGGTCTTTTCTTCCCCATTGAAAATACAGCCCTCCACTTTTACTGATTTGAGGAATGAAGCTGTAAATATATGATGCACTACCTGCAGAAGCTTCTTCCAGGAACATCATCAGAGCTCCCAAATCTCGATCCATGAGAATAGTCTTCAATGGAACGCCAATACTTTTCACGGGATTTATGAAAGCTGTATTAGAAACATTTATAATACCTCTATTCGCCGAGGTTTCAGTTTCGTAATCTAATGAACCAACTATTGCTTCAGGAGCCCAAATATGCCAACTCCAAATAATAGGATCCTGCATTTTTCCATTTGCTCACTGGCTGGAGTTCCCTAAGTGGAAAGCTACCACAGCGTTACCGTATTGATTTTCGTTTAAAGTAACTCGAAGTTTAGTCGTTTCATTGCTTCCATCGATTATTTTTATGTTTTGGATCAAACCTGTATTGGTAGTCCATACTACAGAACTGGATTTGACACTTCCCTGAGGATATTCCTCTGTTGTGCTTAAATGCAACTTATACATTGCATAAGCTTTACGCAAGGGAACTGTAATAACGCGGTCTTTGTCTGTCGGTTTCGCCGTTGTCACTGAGCTGTTAGTATATTCCACATAGCTAGTTGGATCTTTTGCCCAGTTATTAAGAGTAGATATTGTGTATTCTTCATTTTGGCTGCTAATAAATTCAGTTTCAAATGCATTTGGTATAAAGGCGTTATTTGGGTCTTTAATACATTTGCTCCCGACTGTTTCGTGTGTGTTTCCGTCATGTGAAATAGAGTTAATAGTATAGTACCCAAAGTTATTGGCAGTTTCTTTAACACTTCCTGGATCTGAAACATAGCCAAGTTGTCTTGGCCCATACCAAGGTCCGCGATCTGGAAGAACCCAATGCGCCATCAAATGAACCATCTTGATACACAAGTTTAGGTGTTACTAATCTTGAAGTATTGACGTTTGTAATCGTAACATAATTTGGTTAATACTCATAGTTCCCATTAATCGGAATTGATCCTAAATTACGGCTAGCAACGCCTGTAAAATCATATCCTAAACCGGGATATATCTTAATTCCGGGGAATCTCGTGCTTGATGTTGAAACGTTAGAAGTAAAAGTGTTATCATTGTTAGGGCTTCCAACATTGTCATAGTATGATGGTACTCTCCACTTACACGGACAAGGGTCATAAGGAGATTTCATTGCGTAGCGCTTATTCTCTTCAACTAATTGAGGGTTATTTAGATCACTTATCTGGCCACCACGAGTGTCGCCCCAAAGATCCCATGCAACATTCTGCGAAGGATCGGTGCTGTTGAAACCATTTTTGTATTTCTGTTTAGAGAACCATGTTGTCCGTTTCTGATGATACCATAACTTATCACTGTTTTTAACAAAAATTTCCTCGCCGCTATTAATGACCATCTCATTGTACTTTCTAGCATAAAGTGGCGGAATGATCAAGTGGATCGGATTCTGTACAGAATAATGAATATTTCTGCTGAAAGTGATATATCCTGTATTGTCTTGTGGCTATAAGTTTCCTCTGTATTTTACCAGTAATGCAGAAGTTGATCCTGTTGTATAAACAGCTCCTACGCTTCTAATGTTACCAATTTCTCCCGAAATCTCATACATTGTTCCGTCTTTATGGATGAGAGCAGGAAAAGAGTCTTTTCTTCCCCATTGATATTGTAACCATTGAGACTTATGCCAATTGTTACCTAAGAAGTTTGCATTTGTGGCCCCAGGATTTCTGTCCATCCATTTCCAGTCTATAACAGGATTTCCATTTTTATCTTTTTCAAAACCTAGATGGTAAGTACTACTATTCACAGTTGGATCATCGGTTACCCAAACATGCCAAGTCCAGTAAACTTTATCATTCACTCGATAGGATACAATGGCATTTCCTTCTTTAAGCTTATTGACTAAAATTTTAATTTTAGCATTTTCACCTGTTCCTTCCAAAACTACAGATTTAATTAGTCCTGATTCGTCTTCCCGATATAATCCTGCTTTCGGTGTTCCTGATGGAATAGGAGTGAAATTTCCATTGTCATCTTTCATGAATTCACCTCCCTTAGATCACATTTCATAGGCTTTCTTTACAGGAATGTAGAGACCATCAACTTCGCTGCCATTTTGATTTTTTCCTGTGAAAATATTACTGTTCGACGCCTTTGCCCAATCGACGACAACGAAATCTGAAACAGCTCCAGGATTTGCTGTAAAACATTCGGCTGCGCAATTTGAAGTGTCATCATAGACAGTAGTATTTCCGAAGATGCCGGTATATTTGATGAATTTTACGATTTCTTTTTCAATATCCTGCATTGATCGGATAGATGAGTGTCTCAAACAGAATCAATAAAGTTGTTTCGTAATGCACCCATTCCATATAATGTCATTTCAGAAGTACTCGAAACAATAAAGTTTTTAGATCCCGGTCCTCTACGACTGCCTTCCTGATCATTATCATATCCAAAATATAAAGCACCATAGTTGCTGTAACCTGTAAGGTTCCTATAAGTTCCATTACTTTTGTAAACTCTGAAATCTGTAGTTATACTTGACACAAACACTACTCGCTCCTGATCACTGATAAAATCAGATAACTTTTCACTTATAGTATTGTATAAATTGAAATATCTGCTTTGAAGACTGTTAGGATTTTTAAAACTATGATATCCGGGACCGTTCGGTTCACCAGACCACTGACTGAATTTGATGAAAAATCCGTTTGCTGAAAACTTGCCCGCGAAGATATACACAGGATCATCATAACTGTATAAATACGGTCTTGGATGTCCCGGACCTACATCGTAAGAATAAAGATCACGATATAACTATGAAATGGGACATTCATTACTAATTGTTTCAATGCTTTCGTAATCAGATTCAGTTGATCCCTCAACATATGTTGAAGACAACACTAAAATACAAAGAAAAAGTATGATGAAAATTATGAAACTTTGTGCGCCTTCACTACGCTTGGCATAAAAGAACAGAATCTCATACGAATTCTTCTATTGGTTCCATCATTCAATTTGGTATCGAATGAGAACACAGTTGACGTTAAGTTTGATTTCATATGAGCCAACTGCTTTTCTCGACAATAATTGTTATAACATATGAATAATAAATAAAACTTAGCAATGAATACATGTCCTTTGATCATATTCTTGTTTCTCGCGATGAGCGTATATATTTGATTGCTGTCTGCATTCACATTCAACTAAAAATGAAGTGGCATAGTTCCAAACTCATAATGATGTGACCTTCAATTTATTGTATTTTATTTCTTATCCTCATTTTTTCAGTCAATACTATTGGCAAATTAGACATTAACCACTTCTGTGTTTCCTTCTAGTTAATGTAAGTGCGTTTTGTCATTTCATGTCTAGAGTTTATCTGTTGCACAATCATCATTTCACTTTGCAATTTAATTTTTTGTGCGTGACTTCATCGGAGCCATAATCGTGACAAGAAATCTGCCTGCTTTGTATTAATTCTGTATGAATGGATCATAAAATTACAGATCACGTAGTTCTCATTATAATCAACAGCAGAAATCAGGAGAAATAACAGTGAGGAGGATCCAATGTACCGTTTCCAATTTCAGCAGGAAGTAATGTGAGCGACGAAGAAGAGTAAAAGAACTGGATATATCTCTATTTACATTGTAATTAAGAGCTAAATGTACACGAGTACCTGAAGAAAGATTTCGGTCGTCATTTGTGTCGTGACTGACATATGCCGAACTGTTTTTCTTAAGCTAAATCTTTTTGGTAAAGGACTTCTAAAAGCTCAACTTTCAAGATGAACATCTGCTCCGAACGTTCTCATTTAAGAGGTCAAATACGTTTGTGTCCTACTTAGATACGTAGCTATTCGCGTCTTAATGTCAAGAGAAAAACATCATATAGTCGTATTAAGATTTTAATTAATGGATAGTAACTAGAAGCAACAAAAATCTTTTGACGTCAGTCCCTTAATGTACGAGAGATTTAAAAAAAAGACTTTGCATTCTGTGGAGATCGATGTCGTTGAAGAACTGACTGTGAGCAAGTTTCTGAATAGTCTGAATGTTAAGAACCTTCATCTACTAAGGGCGTATAACTGATTATACACAGAAATGCTCATTGCCAACATCTGATTAACTTTGCATGACATGGCTTCCGTCTTGCATAGATTTTGCCATCCTATTGTGTATTTACTCCTCGAGCAAATTAGGACTTAGTGACTTGAGAGGTTTCAGTTCATCATAGAAGTTCTACAGTAGATAATACGAGGAAACTCACTCTAATTGTGACTAGTAAAAGAAATAGGAATACGTAGGCACTATGAAAGTACTTTTCATCAAAATTCGCCATTGATTACTCTAGACTGTTACCATGACGACTTTATACAGTTTCATGAAATTACTTCTCGGGAATTAGAACAGAAACCTGTTATTATCATTAAACAGCGTGGGCATATATTTATTATTTATGAATAAGACAAACTTTCTTTAGTGTTATAAAATTTCTTTCTTCCGCCATCTGGTTTTAATCATTAGAAAAACATATAAGACACAAACCATTAATTAATATTCATAATTTTATCAGTTTGAAACATTTTACCTTCATTAGCTTCCGACACATCACAAAATGTCGTAGTTTGATGTGTTTAGCGGAAGAGGTAGCCACGTCATATGGAGCTTTGTTTTCAATGAGGTTATTTTGAAATAATATTTCACGTAGCTTTCAGAGAGGATAGCAAGTACGAGAAGTATACCGGATGATACTTTGAGTATAAAGAGTGCGCTGTTAGTCTTGTTCCATGTCAGATGTTGTTGTATGCTTCTTAGATTCTAAGATTTTAATAATTACAATACTTCTCAAAAAGCCTATACAGTTTAACATTTCGATTTTTAAAGCGTACAACAACTAGTTTTATCTAGAATCATAAATTGAACATTGTGATTCTACTTTTCATCTGAATTGTGTTTTCTTTCTAGAAAACAAATTCCTTTTCATAGAATTATGGCAAGTGCTCCGGCCTTTGGTATTATCAATTGGTCCTTGACCTTAATCAGCATATTTCTATTTTTAATCTTATTTATTTTATTTTTGAAAATTCGAAATGAACAACGAGAAAAAGATATTTCCTTATACTTAACCATGAACACTTGTCTAGCGGGATTCTTAACATCATCCTGCGTCTTAGCTATGGTTAGTTCAAACGTCTTCAAGCCCTTTCTGCTACGCAACATCGACTTTTGTTATATATTTGGCTTATTCTATGACATATTCGAATGCGCAATATATTACAGTTATTGTCTTCAATCGTTTTATCGTCTGTGTCGAATAATTTACTACAAAGTTCGATTTTTGTTATCTTGGAGGTTTTATCGAGTCTTAATCCTAATTCAATGGTTCATAACTATTATTTTACTTTTGCCGACATTATTTCTCAAATGGTACATTCACTTACCGGGCGAAAGCTATTGTCTCATTCCGTATGATAACCTGATTGGTTCGTTTTATTTAATCCTCGTTCTGTATTCCATTCCATTAATAACAATGATCGTTATTTATATTTGGATAACGAGATATATTCGAACCAGAACAAACATTCGTGCAACGGAAAAACAACGAAACTTGAGAGATTTTACTGCTATTAAACGAATTATCGTCTGTGTACTCATTTTAATCAGCCTACGCTTTCCAACTATTGCCTTTATATTCTACGGAATTGGCAATGGATATTTATTTATATGGACGTATGCAATTGTCGGATTGGTTACAGCTACATGTTTAATATTTATTGCTCTCATGAGCATTTCCATGACAAATAAATTTAAAAAGCTCGTTTCAAGCTTTTTTATAGGGACCAACAACCAAGTTCAGCCAAGAACTGGTACAAATTCTTGACTTTAGTGTTCTCGAATTACCTTGTAGTTTTAGTTATACGCAATAAAACGAATGCTCTTCGATCGAACCGCTTTGTTTTGTTTTAGAGCTGATTTAGTGGATAGTGACTAAATATAATATCACCAACATAACGCGCACCGTGTTTCATCGTATGCCAGCCATCATAGGTGATGAGTTTGCCATGTGGAGTGAAGATAGGGCAGGTGTTATTCTTGAAAACACAGACCATGCCCATGGTATCGATATACACTGATGGACTAAAGCTTTGTTTCATGATTGTATTCACTTCCGTGGCATTTTCTTCGGGTTGTTGAAATTGCTGAATGCGAAATTCGTACGACATGTTCATGTATTTTTTCAAATCGATGACGCCAAAGTTTTTCAACCCTAGAACAAGAAGTTTCTGACTCTTCGTTAGATTTAACAATTCGATGGTTCTCGGCAATCGTATAGCACTCCATCGAAGCCAAAAACCAGCGAGAATGATAACATCCGCTTCACGTATCATTGGAATAGCCGATTGGATTTTGTGATCGTTGATGCAAAGTGATCGGTGAAATGACGCAATCCATTGCAGTCGATCTTCGTCACCCATGTAGATCTGGCACTGAAATCGAATGTAATAACAGCGTATTTCGTACTTTTGTAGGCTGTTTGTTTCGGCAATCATGTTCATAAAGTCTTGCGCGAAACTATCACCAATAAGTAGAAGTCTTCGTTTTGTGTTCGCTGATTGTTTAGAAAACGTTGGATAAGCTTTGAGATGAGTGTCGAAACGACGCGTCACATAGTTCGACAGTTCCATGGGTTCGATATCGGCCAGATATGTGTCGACTTCTTTTAGAGTCAAAGATCCGTTGCGCATGATGCTGTCGATAATCACTGATCGATTATCTGTTACTTTTTCGATGAATGCGGTCCGATAATTGGCGGTATGAATGAGAAATACTGCGACGAAATATAAAACAACTGCTCCCGCAGCTGAGCAGCCAAATATAACTCTCCGAGAAAATAAAGTCCGATTGCGGAAAGGCTGCTCGATGGAATAATACGTAATTGCAGAAAGTAGAAGTATGATAACGATCACCGATTTCATATGCGAGATAGTCATCAGGGAAATTGGGCCGAGACGTAGACAAACTAACAAGGGTTGGTGCCAAAGGTAGGCACTGTACGATATTAAACCTATCCAACGAACTGGTTCTAAGGATAGTAAACGTCCAATTAAAGTATCATGTTTTCCATAGATAATAATCAGAGATGCTCCAAAAGTAGGTACCATCGTGTAGCAATTTGGGAATGGAGGGATCGAACGACTGTCTAGTGTCATAATCGATATAAGAATCAAAGATAGTCCAATCACAGAAGCAACTTGTGCTCGCATACCGATTGATTTGCCCGACCTAGAAAAGATATTTGTTATCAATAAACCCTTTTGTCCGAACTGGATAGAATCTGTTGTAAGCAAAACAGGGAAAACTAAAGATCTCAGGTTTTCAAATCCAATTCTTTTAAAATCAATGGAAGAAAAATTGATACATACACGATTGAATCATTTGCTCTTGAATAGAAGGCCACGAAAGAGCCAAGTAATAATTCCCATATACGTCCGATTGGCATATAAAACGATGCCCACGAATGTTGGAAAAACATGTAAAACGTCCTTTTCGAGATCATCTGAATGTTACCTCCCCATTGTGCAAGAAAGAAGCTGAATAATCCAACAAATCCCAAGAAAATCAGTAAATTTCGTCGCCATCTAGCAAACAGCAAGCATAACAAGGGGAAAACGAGATAGAATTGTTCTTCCACAGCTAAACTCCATGTATGAACCACCGGATTCAATTCATTCAATTGTGAGAAGTATCGATCATCCTTCCACCAGAAAAACACATTCGAAGAAAAGGTTATGATAGAAATGAGAGAATAACCGAAATCTTCCAATTGACCTGGCGACATCCGTTGATAGGCAAAGTAACAAGTAACGAGTGAGATAACATACAACGCTGGAAGGATTCGACGGCAACGTCTTTCATAGAAACGAATGAGTGAAAAGGTTCCTTGACGAATTTCCATATCGATAAGCGATGTGATCAAATAACCACTAATAACAAAAAATATATCAACGCCGACATAACCTCCTGGAACGATATTGACATATCCAGCATGGTAGAGAATGACTGGTAAAACAGCGATTGCTCGTAGTCCATCGATTTCTTTTCGATAGACAAGCATCGTGTGAAATCACAATTATAATCGAATGTCGGTTTACAAGCTAGCTGAGCAAAACTCTCGAGTAGACGAACATCGCCGAAATCAGATGGGCATGTTGTAGAAATACAATCGAAGTGAACGAGTAAATTTACGCAGACTTGAAGAAAGGAAGAACAAAAAAGAAAAAAAACGTCTTTTTTCAATAGAGAATTCAGAAGAATAAGAAAGAAAAGCTACCGAAAAAGTTTGTTTGCTTTAAAAGTCTACTTTATTAAAGATTTTTATGACAAACGATCGACTGAAAAAGACAAACACGCTTAGGTTAGTGTGCATTCCTTCGTATCGATTCATGATTTTACAGAATTGTTTGTATGTCACTCCGATAGTTTCTCTTCATAAAAAAGAGCATTAACGTTTGGTATTTGATCATTTCTAAGAGACATTTAGATCAAAATCTATACTCTATAAAATACTGTCATCATGAAAATCGTTACTTTTAAACTACCGACATCTACACGCAATATTTTGAAAACTTTTGAAGACATAATGCTCATATCAATATCACGATGAGATGACTCATATTGCAAACTGAAAATCTCTATTATCGTAAATGATCGGCAAAAATAAAAAGTATATTATGCTTTCTGTAGCGTTGACTGACTCGTGGAAGCAACCGAAATATAACTTAGTATATTCGGTGATAAAAATTGACAGGTTTTTTTCCATTTTTGAAGGAAAGAAGTCAAGCTGTTACAACTAGCATAGCTACTCCAAATAACCGAGCATTGGTAATGCATATTGTTGATAATAACAATCGAGTTAATCGTTAAGCGCAATATTGTTCCAACCGCTGTTGATGTGGCAACTGTAAAAGTTGAATTACCACCCAGACGTGTTATCAGCACTGTAGAGCGAGAGTAAGAACAAAACAGGCCGAATTTTTGGCTATTGTCGGACTATATTCTCATGCAGAGCTAATGCGTGTAATACAGCTTATGTAATTAAGCACGTGAATGATCAATGCATGTTGACTATCATAAGGCCATGCTGTATTTGCAATGGAAATTACTCTTGTGATTGCGAAAATCGATTCATTGTGAGTAGTGCAGTGTTTTTATCCCGATCTTTTTATTACATCGTTATAGAGTTTCGTGAAGCCGATCGATCATTAGAAATCGAAGCGATTGAAAAGCAATATGATGGAAGTATGCTAATTTCAATTTTCCTGTGTTTGTCCAGTTTCAATGAATATTGATATTTGAATGAAAGCTCTCGTACTTGATGCTCTATTCCTAATTGTAGTTACGAGTGTAAAACACTTCCAAAATTCATTGTCTCATGTTAAGGACATTCAAAAGTATCAGATAAGTGGCCTTTTCTATAGTCGATATTATCGGCAATTAACACCTACTCCATAGAACGATTTTGATTGCTTTGTGATTACTTATAGATGAAATGACTTTTTCATCAACGCGGCATAGTGTTATCGAGTAAATTATCACTTTATTATTCTGACGTTCAGTCTCAGTCTTGCGGGAAAGACACATGATTTGTGTCAAGCACTGTCAAGGTTTTTTTTAGAACACCCCTCAACAAAAAGCATTTATCCATTCGTTGTGTTATTTGCAAGAAGTAATAGATGACAATGTGCAGAACCCATATGTGTTACTTTTTTTTATTGATTAAGTTAGAGAAACACAGAGAGAATGTTAACAGCGTTATTGGTAATAATAACTGGAAGATTGTGAAACTGGCTGATTCTGACTCGCAAGGTCATGTCTTTGTCATCACTCATTGTATTTCAACAGGCAATGCTTCGCTATATCGTTCCGATCATACTGGTACTGGGGAATATCGGTAACTTTATTTTACTCGGATTTTTCTCTCAGAAACACATTCGTATCAATTCGTGTTCAGCTTATTTGTTTACTGCCGCACTTTTCAGCATCATAGGCAGCTATTGTGCGCTCATTCCTTTCATATACGCTGCTTATTATCCTGATCCCTTCGGTCGATTTCTTATCCTCTGCCGTCTGCGATTATACATTGGTTATATCTGCGCAATGACTTTCCGTTCAATGATCGTTCTCGCTACGATCGATCGTTATGCACTGACAAGTTCTCGCTCAACATTTCGAACTTTTGCTTCGATTTCAACCGCTCGACGAGCAATTATCACAACTTTTCTGTTCTGGAGTGCTGCTGGCTTTCATTTACTCATCGGACCACGTATTGAAAATAATCGGTGTCTTCTCTACGGTCTCTACGGCTTTCTCTTCAGCGTTTTTCAACTGCTTTCTTTCGGTATCCTTCCAAGTGTTCTGATGATCGTCTTTGCTTTGCTCTTAATTAAAAACATTCGTCAATCTCGCACGCGTTCAGGATCACATTATACGAAGAGTTTCCTTCGAAAACGAGATCGAAACTTGATTGAACTTGTATATACGGAAATCCTACTGAATTTTATCTGTACACTTCCGTACTCGATTTTTTCGATCTATATGGGACTGACCAATGACATTCAAAATAAAAGCACCAGACGAATACAAGTCGAATCGTTGACGTTCTTTTTCTTTATTACCTTTCTGCTATATCTGATGGGCTATTCAACAACATTCTATGGGTATTTAGTCATGTCGAAATCATTCCGACGCGAAATTCGCTCCGAACTATGGAAACTCATTGGAACGCGATCCGTGACAACACAGTCAGAACTAGGAAAAGAACAAAACTCACTAGGGCTTCTCTCCTGATGAAAAATTATTCAGTTATTAATAGTTTAAATCCACCAATAAAATGCTTTTCATTCCATTCACATTGATATAATCTTGTTCGTTGCTCACTATAGGAGAGCATTGGTTACCGATTTGATGTCATTCATAAAGTTAGGTTGAGCGTACACGACTCCCGGTAATCTTTTCTAATCTTCGGAAGTTCTGCTCTGTCTGATAAAGCATTCGAATGCGTGTCTATCGATGATGATAAGTAAAAACATGCATAAAACAGTTCTTTCGCATATATCTTCTTATTCTATTCACATCGTATTATTTTTTAATACAAAAAATAAAAACATTCGCTTGTCTAAACGGTTTAGTCAACCGAAGCAACACTCACGCATGCATTCTGTTCTTTCTCGACATGGGATTGTTTTGTACAAATGAATGCAAACGAACACTATTAATCGCCTATTGAACTACACAAAGTTAAAAGTACGATTTTTTTTCATTTTGCACACGCGTGTTTAGGAGAGTCGATCATGTAAAACAAAATCGAAGTTGCCGAACACAATAAAGTACGAGTGACGTTTTGATGTATCGAAGATGTTTTCGTTTCTATTTGCTTACGAATCACTTGTCCTTGAATCGTCATTTACTTCTCGCAACACGTGACAGAACGATCGATTCTAAACTGTTCTTGCACATATAGAAAATAAAATATTATTCTGCTCTGTATGTATCTAACAAGTACTATCAATGTCATTTCATTTCTCTCCATCTAGTAAATACCTGAGACATCATGATCATTACTAATCTCATTGGCTTTGCCTTTGTCATATTTTCGTTTTTCTTCTTCGTCGTCTGCCGTTACATATGCCATCTGTTAATGACTTCAACAACTCAAAAAGATTCGTCGCCATCGCCGCTCGTTCGCACTTGTTTCACCGATCCCAATGTCGAACGATGTAAACGAACAAACATATGGATGAGCTTCCTACATGCGTTAATCACTGGTACTCTTGCTATTTACAGTCTTTGGATCTATTCGCCTGACATTCACAACGATTATATCGGACACATCACTTGGTTGACTTACTTAATTGGTTGTTTTTCTTTCGGTTATATTATCCGAACGGATTTTCAAACAATGATCTGTTATCTTTTCTCGTCTATTTAGGCTACTTTTGTTATGATTCAATGGATATTATCTCCAATCGTCGGGGAGCTGATATGTGGCAAATGGTGTTGCATCATGTGATCGTAAGTCTTCGATTGATCTTTGGTAGAGTGAATACGAAGTGTTCATTCGTTTTTCAAAGGTACTCTTCACTTTCGGTCCAAATATCGTTCGTCTAAAGAATGTCGGTTATCAAACGTTGACACTCCTCGCTGAGTTCAATTCCATCTTTCTACACATTCGAAGATTATTTGAATTATACAACATTTCACCTCACAATCAAATTGTTCGATTGAACATGTATATCAATCAAATTACTTTTATTATTTGTCGGTTTGGAATGTTAGCATGTATTAGTCTTGGTGTATACCATGACGGAGAACGAATTGGTGTTTACTATTATAAATATATCGCGTATATTTGTCTCCCGGCTCTGTGGATAATGAATCCTTATCTTCTTTATCGGTTATTATGTGCAGATTTTTCGAGAAAAACGAAATCTAAGTAATTGTCATTCGCGTTGTCTGTCTGAAGTTATTGTTGCTTAGTGTGACCAGTGAAAAACAAACAAACAAGCAAGATTTTTTCGTCGTTCTACGTAATCACTCATATTTTTCTCTTCGTCATACGAAAAAAAACACACATACACTGATAGTATCTCTCGAGCCTTATTTTCTTATTTTTGTATTATCATTCAAACAATACAATCGTAATTTCTACTTTGTGTGTAGTAATAAATAAACGGATTACTAAATCATCACAAATCTTGTGCTCATCATGATGGAAACAGTCGAACGATTCGATCAAACAGAAGGATATGGACATTCGTTACGCAATAAGTATCAAGTGTTTGAAAAACTCCGCGCTACGTACGGCGGTGATTATGCCCGTGGTCAACAGAAGTACTCGAGCGGTCAACATCGCATTCGATTTCAGCTAGAACCGATTGGAGGGGATAAAGAAGCGAATATAATCCTCGTCGGTGTTATCTCGGCGAATGTCACTGCTACAGATCAATATTTTAACAAGACACCTTCGACCTATGCGTGGGAAACATCGTCTCACGATTGGGAAGATAAAACAACTATTGTAGAAAATGGTCAACATAAAAAAGTGCCAAAAGACAAGTGGGCAGGTGCGGAAACAGGGGATATACTCGAGTTGATCATTGATTGCGATCAACAACTTATTCGGATAAAGAATGAAACAAGAAAGACAGGTGATACGATGAAAGTTGATTTAAATAATTGTCCTTTGCCATGGAAATTCATCGTCATTTTTTCGATGTATCCGGATCGTGTTCGGCTCTTGTAATTCTTTTACTAATTGTATCAATAAATGGGAGATGTGCGCATTGAGTAGAGCGACATCTCCGTTTGCAGAAATATACAATTTGTCGATAATCACGGCCATTGAATAACAAAGATTGATTGTAGGAATTTGTAATACAGCAGGTCACAGTTGAAATGTCCTTTCTTTCTGATATTCAGGCCGGTTCTCGATTGAAACTCCGTCCGACCGTTACACGTGTTACCAACTCATTAGGTCAAACTCATCATGAGAGTAAATCTGATCAAGGAACATTCGAAACACGTGGTCGGTCAAGTGACTCGAATGGTGCATTTATGGTCATCGACAACTCACCTGATGAAGAACTTCATCATGTTATAGATGGTGTTTACATTGGTTCACAAGACGCAGCGTCGAATCTGCCAGGTCTCAACGAATGTAAAATCACACATATACTCAATGTAGCAACGGGAATCGAAAATGTCTTCCCTGACCGATACAATTATTTGAATATTGAATTATTAGATGTGCCTGAAACAAATATTTCGAAAGTATTTGCACAAACCAATCAATTCATCGAACAAGCACTGGCTGATAATGGATGTGTACTGGTGCATTGTAATGCGGGCGTTTCGCGGAGTTCGAGCATTGTCTTAGCTTATCTGATAGGCACACGGCGAATGTCGTATGACGATGCGTATCAACTAGTGAAAAGAGCACGTCCGAACATCCGACCAAACGATGGATTCGTGCGACAACTGAAAGAATATGCGGCTGAAAAGTGAGGCTGCGCTGGTATGAATGTATAGTAGCCGTAGATGTGGATGAGACGTGTTTATAATGAAGACTCCGCCACTCGCATTCTTTTAATTCTTTTCCGTTATTCTTCTGTTGTCTTAATTCTTTGAACCAGCAAATTCGTTCATAACATTGGATTATATAATAAAACTTAATAATCTCATTCTTGATATTTTCTTACTCACCATTTACTCCATTCGACATTCTTGTTTTCGGCCTTTATCGTATATATTTGTTCGTCGAACTTCATTTTCTGTATGACTGTGTACTTAAGGTGACAAAACCTAAGAATTTCATTAGTTGACAAATACTTATCAGTTTTTTTATGGGATAAAACACAGAGAAATTATCAATGAAAAGTCTTGAGATACGAAGCGAAAGGCATCTTATTTTTTCCAACATAAACTAAACTCTGTTGTAATTTCGGCATTCGTATTTTACTTAGTAAATAGACAACACTAAAACTCATTATACAGCATACTAACATTTGTATGGCTTCGTCAAATGTTTCACAATATCAGTACAGTGATATTCAAACAGTTCTAGTGGACAAACTCACAGAGTGGCACAAACACTTTCCAGACGATAGTACCAAACCCATTCATGTTTTACCGGTGGTTAGACACGATGACCCGGATCTATTTCAATCATCCTTAGAAAACGAGAGCAACGAGCATAATGGGGAACGCATCATACTTATTCCATACTATTTTGGGAACTCCCATTGTACTGGAATCCTACTGGAATTTAATGCAGATGGATCGATCAACAGAGCTGAATATACAGATCCAGTGAAAGGTACCATACCAAACAAATTACAAAGCCAGTTCAAAGAAGTTTATTCGGAGAGCACTCTGCAGGTGAAAGATTTGCCACAACAACATGATGCGATGAATAGTGCGGCAATAACGATTGAAAGCTTATTAGCAGGTGTCAATGTTGACTTATCGAAAATCACTCCAGTGACGTCTATTACTTCATCAACAAATAACATTCCAAACGAAGGTAACGGAAACGAACTTTATCCCCGGTTAGATTCCTTAGAACATAATTTGGAATCACATAACTTGCAGAATACAGGTGGATTGCAAATAGGAATTCAGAATGAAGGTTTTGATGATCGAGGTGCGAGACGTTCGTATATTGAAAACCTTCGTACTGATTGTAATTCTATGCCACCATGCGCTGAGAAAATAATTTTGGAGCTTCTCATACACTTCAACGAAAAACAGTTAGAAGGAGCTTCTTCATTAACGAGAGATTCAAAAATTGAACTGTTGCAAAAACTTAGAGAACAGATGATACGAGAGCAATTTTTCTCCGAATGGGCGCAAACGAGATTTCAAGAATTGAATATAATCATCGAGAATAGTAATGATTCATCTGTCGTAGCTTGTTTGAGTAAGCTGTTGACACGAATTCGTCCATTACACGTTCAAGAAATGCAAAGACTAGTGTTGAAAGCCAACCAAGCTGCGGATTTAATTCGTAATCAAGATATCCTCCTTCTCTTAGGTGAAACTGGATCTGGTAAATCGACTATGATTCAATTTTTAGCAGGATGTCGCATGACACAAAAGAAGGTTGAGATTGCGTCGGGATGCTTTTTAGTTCATATTACAACTGATGACATAGGAAAAGATCCTCGATTGACAAACGTCATCAGTTCTCCATTCAATAGATCAGAAACGCGATATATCGCGTCTGTGACGGTACAATTAAAAGACATTCTCGGGAGTTGTGAAGATGGCGATGTTGTTCNGCTGAATGCGAAATTCGTACGACATGTTCATGTATTTTTTTAAATCGATGACACCAAAGTTTTTCAACCCTAGAACAAGAAGTTTCTGACTCTTCGTTAGATTTAACAATTCGATGGTTCTCGGCAATCGTATAGCACTCCATCGAAGCCAAAAACCAGCGAGAATGATAACATCCGCTTCACGTATCATTGGAATAGCTGATTGGATTTTGTGATCATTGATACAAAGTGATCGGTGAAATGACGCAATCCATTGCAGTCGATCTTCGTCACCCATGTAGATCTGACACTGAAATCGAATGTAATAACAGCGTATTTCGTACTTTTGTAGGCTGTTTGTTTCGGCAATCATGTTCATAAAATCTTGCGCGAAACTATCACCGATAAGTAGAAGTCTTCGTTTGGTCTTCGCTGATTGTGCAGAAAACGTTGGATAAGCTTTGAGATGAGTGTCGAAACGACGCGTCACATAGTTCGACAGTTCCATGGGTTCGATATCAGCCAGATATGTGTCGACTTCTTTTAGAGTCAAAGATCCGTTGCGCATGATGCTGTCGATAATCACCGATCGATTATATGTTACTTTTTCGATGAATGTAGTCCGAGAATTGGCGGTATAAATGAGAAATACTGCGACGGAATATATAACAAATGCTCCTGCAGCTGAGCAGCCAAATACGACTCTCCGAGAAAACAAAGCCCGATTCCGGAAAGGCTGCTCGATGGAGTAATACGTAATTGCAGAAAGTAGAACTATGATAACGATCACCGATTTCATATGCGAGATAGTCATCAGGGAAATTGGTCCGAGACGTAGACAAACGAGCAAAGGTTGGTGCCAAAGATAGGCACTGTAGGATATTAAACCTATCCAACGAACTGGTTCTAAGGACAGTAAACGGCCAACTAAAGTATCATGTTTTCCATAGATAATAATCAGGGTTGCTCCAAAAGTAGGCACCATCGTGTAGCAATTCGGGAATGGAGGGATCGAACGACTGTCTAGTGTCATAATCGATATAATGACCAAAGATAGTCCAATTACAGAAGCAACTTGTGCCCGCATACCGATTGATTTGCCCGACCTAGAAAAGATATTTGTTATCAATAAACCTCTTTACCTGAGCCAGATAGAATCTCTTGTAAGCAAAACAGGGAAAACTCAAGATCTCAAGTTTTATCAAATTCAATTCTTTTAAAATTAATTGAAGAAAAATCGATACATACACGATTGAATCATTTGCTCTTGAATAGAAGGCCACGAAAGCACCAAGTAACAATTCCCATATACGTCCAATTGGCATATAAAACGATGCCCACGGATGTTGGAAAAACATGTAAAACGTCATTTTCGAGATTATCTGAATGTTACCTCCCCATTGTGCAAGAAAAAAGCTGAACGATCCAACAAATCCCAAGAAAATCAGTAAATTTCGTCTCCATCTCGCGAACAACAAGCATAGCAAAGGAAAAACGAGATAGAATTGTTCTTCCACAGCTAAACTCCATGTATGAACCACCGGATTCAATTCATTCAATTGCGAAAAGTATCGATCGTCCTTCCACCAGAAAAACACATTCGAAGAAAAGGTTATGATAGAAATGAGAGAATAACCAAAATCTTTCAATTGACCTGGCGACATCCGTTGGTAGGCAAAGTAACAAGTGACGAGTGAGATAACATACAATGCTGGAAGGATTCGACGGCAACGTCTTTCATAGAAACGAATGAGTGAAAAGGTTCCTTGTCGAATTTCCGTATCGATAAGCGATGTGATCAAATAGCCACTAATAACAAAAAATATATCAACGCCGACATAACCTCCTGGAACGATATTGACATATCCAGCATGGTAGAGAATAACCGGTAAAACAGCAATTGCTCGTAGTCCATCGATTTCTTTTCGATAGATAAGCATCGTGTGAAATCACAATTAATCGAATGTCGGTTTACAAGTTGACTGAACAAAACTCTCGACTAGGCGAATCTCATCGAAATCATATAGGCATGTTGTAGAAATACAATCGAAGTGAACGAGTAAATTTACGCAGACTGAAGAAAGGAAGAACAAAAAAGAAAAAAAGATCTTTTTTTCAATAAAGAATTCAGAAGAATAAGAAAGAACAGCTAGCCAAAAGTTTGTTTGCTTTCAAAGCTTTGCTTATTAAAGAATTCGATGACAAACGATCGACTGAAAAAGACAAACAAGCGTAAGTTATTGTGCATTCTTCCATATCGATTCATGATTTTACAGAATTGTTTGTAATGTCATTTCGATAGTTTCTCGTCAAAAAAGAACAAGCATTAACGTTTTGTATTTGCTCATTTCTAAGAGACATTTAGATCAAAATCTATACTCTATAAAATACGGTCATCATGAAAATCTTTATTTATAAACTACCGACATCTACACACAATATTTTTTAAAAGTTTTGAAGACATAATGCTCATATCAACATCACGACGAGATGACTCATATTGCAAACTAAAAAACTCTATTAAGGTAAATGATCGGCTAAAATAAAAAGTAGACTATGCTCTCTGTAGCGTTGGCTGACTCATCGAAACAACTGAAATATGGTATATTCGGTGATCAAAATTGACAGTTTTTTTCCGTTTTTGAAGCCACGTAAGGCACACAATTTGAGCTGATGTACAAATATTTATTCCGTTGTATGAAAGAAGCCAATTTGTTACAACCAATATAGCTGCTCCAAAGAACCGAGCATTGGTAATGCATATTGTTGATAATAATAATCGAGTTAGGTGGAATTCGAAGGAGCTCTTGTACTATTCTACTGTTAGGAAGTAATTCGTGTTAATCGTTAAGCACAACCTTGTTCCAACTGCTGTTGATGTGGCAGCTGTTAGAGTTGAATCACCACCTGGACGTGTTATCAGTACTGTAGAGCGAGAGTAAGAACAAAACAGGCTGAATTTTTAGCTATTGTCTGACTATATTCTCATGTAGAGCTCATGCGTGTAATACAACTTGTGTTATTAAGGACGCGAATGATCAATGTACGTTGACTATCATGAGGCCATGTTGTATTTGCAATGGAAATTACTCTTGTGATTGCAAAAATCGATTCATTGTGAAATAGTGCAGTGTTTTTATCCCGATCTTCTTGTTACATCGTTGTAGTTTCGTAAAGCCGATCGATCATCGGAAACCGAAGCGATTAAAAAGCAATATGTTGGAAGTGTGCATATAACAGCAGCAAATCCATTTGTATTTCCATTGAATTGTAAGCAAAAAAGACTAATTTCAATCTTCCTGTGATTGTTCAGTTTCAATGAATCTTGATGTTCGAATGAAAGCTCTCGTACTTGACACTCTATTCCTACTTGCAGTTACGAGTATAAAACACTTCTAAAATTCATTGTCTCATATTAAGGATATTCAAAAGTATAAGATAAGTGGCCTTTTCCTCTAAAATTCTTATTCTTTTCTATAATTGATATATTCGGCAATTAACACTTACTCCATAGAACGATTTTGATTGCTTTGTGATTACTTCTAGATGAAATTACTTTTTCATCGACATGGTATAGTGTTATCGAATAAATTGTCACTTTATTATTCCGACGTTCAGTCTCAGTCTTGCGAGAAAGAAACATGATTTGTGTCAAGCACTATCAAAGTTTTTTTCTAGAACAACTTTCAACAATAAGCATTTACCCATTTGTTGTGTTATTTGCAAGAAGTAATAGATGACAATACGCAGAACCCATGTGTTACTTTTTTTCTATTGAATAAATTAGAGACAGAAATAGAGAATGTTAATAGAGTTATTGTTAATAATAACTGAAAGATTGTGAAACTGGCCGATTCTGACTCGCAAGGTCATGTCTTTGTCATCACTAATTGTATTTCAACAAGCAATGCTTCGCTATGTCGTTCCGATTATACTGGTACCGGGGAATATCGGTAGCTTTATTTTACTCGGATTTTTCTCTCAGGAACACATTCGTATCAATTCGTGTTCAGCTTATTTGTTTACTGCCGCACTTTTCAGCATCGTAGGCAGCTATTGTGCGCTGATTCCTTTCATCTACGCTGCTTATTTTCCTGATCCCTTCGGTCGATTTCTTACCCTCTGCCGTCTGCGATTATGCATTGGTTATATCTGCGCAATGACTTTCCGTTCAATGATCGTTCTCGCTCTACATTTCGAACTTTCGCTTCGATTTCAACCGCTCGACGAGCAATTATCGCGAGTTTTCTGTTGTGGAGTGCTGCTGGCTTTCATTTACTTATCGGGCCACGTATTGAAAATAATCGGTGTCTTCTCTGTGGTTTTCTCTTCAGCGTTTTTCAACTGTTTAGTTTCGGTATCGTTCCAAGCGTTCTGATGGTCATCTTTGCTTCGCTCTTAATTAAAAACATTCGTCAATCTCGCACGTGTTCAGAATCACGTTATACGAAGAGTTTCCTTCGAAAACGAGATTGAAACTTGATTGAACTTGTATATACGGAAATTCTGCTGAATTTTATCTGTACGTTTCCGTACTCGATTTTCTCGATCTATATGGGACTGACCAACGACATTCGAAATAAAAGCACCAGACGAATACAAGTCGAATCGTTGAGGTTGTTTTTCTTTATTACCTTTCTGCTATATCTGATGGGCTATTTAACAACTTTCTATGGATATTTAGTCATGTCGAAATCATTCCGACGCGATATTCATTTCGAACTATGGAAACTCATTGGAATACGATCGGCGACAACACAATCAGAACCAGGAGAAGAACAAAAATCACTAGTGCTTATCTCCTGATGAAAAATTATTCAGTTATTAAAAGTTTAAATCCACCAATAAAATGCTTTTTAATCGATTCACATTGATATAATCTTGTTCGTTGTTTATTGCTCACTATAAGAGAGCATCAGCTACCGATTTGATGTTATTCATAAAGTTAGGTTGAGCGTACACGACTCCCAGTAACATTTTCTAAACTTCGGAAGTTCTGCTCTGTCTGATAAAGCATTCGAATGCGTGTCTATCGATGTTGATAAGTAAAAACATGCATAAAATAGTTTTTTCGTATATATCTTCTTAACCTATTCACATCGTATGATTTTTGATACAAAAAAAAAACATCCACTTGTCTAAACGGTTTAGTCAACCGAAGCAACACTCACGCACGCATTCTGTTCTTTCTCCACATGGGATTTTTTTGTACAAATGAATGAAAACGGTCACTATTAATCGCCTATTGAACTACAGAAAGTTAAAAGTACGATTTTTTTTAATTTTGCACACGCGTGTTTAGGAGAGTCGAACATGTAAAACAAGATCAAAGTTGCCGAACACAATAAAGTACGAGTGACGTTTTTGATGTAACAAAGATGTTTTCGTTTCTATTTGCTTACGAATCACTTGTCCTTGAATCGTCATTTACTTCTCGCAGCACGTGACAGAACGATCGATTCTAAACTGTTCTTGCACATGTAGAAAATCAAATATTATTTTGCTCTGTATGTATCTAACAAGTACTATCAATGTCATTTCATTTTTCTTCATCTAGAAAATACCTGAGACATGATGATGATCACTAATCTCATTGGCTTTGTCTTTGTCATATTTTCGTTTTTCTTCTTCGTCGTCTGCCGTTACATATGCCATCTGCTAATGACTTCAACACATCAAAAAGATTCGTCACCATCGCCGTTTGTTCGCACTTGTTTCACCGATCCCAATGTCGAACGATGTAAACGAACAAACATATGGATGAGCTTCCTACATGCGTTAATCGCTGGTACTCTGGCTATTTACAGTCTTTGGATCTATTCGCCTGACATTCACAACGATTATATCGGACACATCACTTGGCTGACTTACTTAATTGGTTGTTTTTCTTTCGGTTATATTATCCGAATGGATTTTCAAACAATGATCTGTTATCTTTTCTCGTCTATTTAGGCTACTTTTGTTATGATTCAATGGATATTATCTCCAATCGTCGGGGAGCTGATTTGTGGCAAATGGTGTTGCATCATGTGATCGTAAGTCTTCGATTGATCTTTGGTAGAGTGAATACGAAGTGTTCATTCGTTTTTCAAAGGTTATCTTCACTTTCGGTCCAAATATCGTTCGTCTAAAGAATGTCGGTTATCAAACATTGACACTCCTTGCTGAATTCAATTCCATCTTTCTACACATGCGAAGATTATTTGAATTATACAACATTTCACCTCACAATCAAATTGTTCGATTGAACATGTATATCAATCAAATTACTTTTATTATTTGTCGGTTTGGAATGTTAGCGTGTATTAGTCTTGGTGTATATCATGACGGAGAACGCATTGGCGTTTACTATTATAAATATATTGCGTATATTTGTCTCCCGGCTCTATGGATAATGAATCCTTATCTTCTTTATCGGTTATTATGTGCAGATTTTTCGAGAAAAGCGAAATCTAAGTAATTGTCATTCGCGTTGTCTGTCTGAAGTTATCGTTGCTCAGTGTGACCAGTGAAAAACAAACAAACAACATTTTTTCGTTGTTCTGTGTAATCATCGATATTTTTCTCTTCGTCATACGAAAAAAAACACACACTGATAGTATCTCTCGAGCTTTATTTTCTTATTTTTGTATTATCATTCAAACAATACAATCGTAATTTCTACTTTGTGTGTAGTAATAAATAAACGGGTTACTAAATCATTACAAATCTTGTGCTCATCATGATGGAAACAGTCGAACGATTCGATCAAACGGAAGGATATGGACATTCGTTACGTAATAAGTATCAAGTGTTTGAAAAACTTCGCGCTACGTACGGCGGTGATTATGCTCGTGGTCAACAGAAGTACTCGAGCGGTCAACACCGCATCCGATTTCAGCTAGAACCGATTGGAGAGGATAAAGAAGCAAATATAATCCTCGTCGGTGTTATCTCGGCAAATGTCACTGCTACAGATCAATATTTTAACAGGACACCTTCGACCTATGCGTGGGAAACATCGTCTCACGATTGGGAAGATAAAACAACTATTGTAGAAAATGGTCAACATAAAAAAGTGCCAAAAGACAAGTGGGCAGGTGCGGAAACGGGGGATATACTCGAGTTGATCATTGATTGTGATCAACAACTTATTCGGATAAAGAATGAAACAAGAAAGACAGGCGATACGATGAAAGTTGATTTGAATAATTGTCCTTTGCCATGGAAATTCATCGTCATTTTTTCGATGTATCCGGATCGTGTTCGACTCTTCTAATTCTTTTACTAATTGTATCAATAAATGGGAGATATGCGCATTGAGTAGAGCGACATCTCCGTTTGCAGAAATATACAATTTGTCGATGATCACGGCCATTGAATAACAAAGATTGATTGTAGGAATTTGTAATACAGCAGATCACAGTTGAAATGTCCTTTCTTTCTGATATTCAGGTCGGTTCTCGATTGAAACTTCGCCCGACCGTTACCCGTGTTACCAACTCATTAGGTCAAACTCATCATGAGAGTAAATCTGATGATGGAACATTCGAAACACATGACCAACCAAGTGACTCGAATGGTGCATTTATGGTCATTGACAACTCACCTGATGAAAAACTTCATCGTGTTATAGATGGTGTTTACATCGGTTCACAAGACGCAGCATCGAATCTCCCGGGTCTCAACGAATGTAAAATCACACATATACTCAATGTAGCAACGGGAATCGAAAATGCCTTCCCTGACCGATACAATTATTTGAATATTGAATTATTAGATGTGCCTGAAACAAATATTTCGAAAGTCTTTGCACAAACCAATCAATTCATCGAACAAGCACTGGCTGATAATGGATGTGTACTGGTGCATTGCAATGCGGGCATTTCGCGGAGTTCGAGCATAGTCTTAGCTTATCTGATAGGCACACGTCGAATGCCGTATGAAGATGCGTATCAACTAGTGAAAAGAGCACGTCCGAACATCCGACCAAACGATGGATTCGTGCGACAATTGAAACAATATGCAACCGAAGAGTGAGGCTGAGGGTATGAATGTATAGTAGCCATAGATGTGGATGAGACGTGTTTATAATGAAGACTCCACCGCTCGCATTCTTTTAATTCCTTTCCGTTTTTCTTCTGTTGTCTTAATTCTTTGAATCAGCAAATTCGTTCATAATATTGGATTATTATAATAAAACTTAATAATCTCATTTTTGATATTTTCTTACTCATCATTTACTCTATTCGACATTCTTGTTTTCGGTCCTTATCGTATATATCTTTTCCTTGTCGTCATTTAACATCACACCTGATTTGTATTGTTTCGTCGAACTTCATTTTCTGTATGACTGTGTGCTTAAGGTGACAAAACCTAAGAATTTCATTAGTTGACAAACACTTATCAGTTTTTTTTATGGGATAAAACACAGAGTAATTATCAGTGAAAAGTCTTGAGATACGAAGCGAAAGGCATCTTACTTTTTCCAACATAAGCTAAACTCTGTTGTAATTTCGGCATTCGTATTTTACTTAGTAAAAAGGCAACACTAAAACTCATTATACAGCATACTAACATTTGCATGGCGTCGTCAAATGTTCCACAATATCAGTACAGTGATATTCAAACAGTTCTAGTGGACAAACTCAGAGAGTGGTGCAAACACTTTCCAGACGATAGTACCAAACCCATTCATGTTTTACCGGTGGTTAGACACGATGATCCGGATCGATTTCAATCATCCTTAGAAAACGAGAGCATCGAGCATAATGGGGAACGCATCATACTTATTCCATACTATTTCGGGAACTCTCATTGTACCGGAATCCTACTGGAATTTAACGCAGATGGATCGATCAACAGAGCTGAATATACAGATCCAGTGAACGGTATCATACCAAACAAATTACAAAGCCAGTTCAAAGAAGTTTATTCGGAGTGCACTCTGCAGGTGAAAGATTTGCCACAACAACATGATGCGGTCAATAGTGCGGCAATAACGATTGAAAGCTTATTAGCAGGTATCAATGTTGACTTATCGAAAATCACTCCAGTGACGTCTATTACTTCATCAATAAATAACATTCCAAACGAAGGTAACGGAAACGAACTTTATCCCCGATTAGATTCCTTAGAACATAATTTGGAATCACATAACTTGCAGAATACAGATGAACTGCAAATAGGAATTCTGAATGAAGGTTTTGATGATCGAGGTGCGAGACGTTCGTACATTGAAAACCTTCGTACTGATTGTAATTCTATTCCACCATGCGCTGAGAAAACAATTTTGGAGCTTCTCATACACTTCAACGAAAAACAGTTAGAAGGAGCTTCTTCATTAACGAGAGATTCAGAAATTGAACTGTTGCAAAAACTTAGAGAACAGATGATACGAGAGCAATTTTTCTCCGAATGGACTCAAACGAGATTTCAAGAATTGAATACAAACATCGAGAATAGTAATGATTCATCTGTCGTAACTTGTTTGAGTAAGCTGTTGACACGAATTCGCCCATTACACGTTCAAGAAATGCAAAGACTAGTGTTGAAAGCCAACCAAGCTGCGGATTTAATTCGTAATCAAGATATCGTCCTTCTCTTAGGTGAAACTGGATCTGGTAAATCGACTATGATTCAATTTTTAGCAGGATGTCGCATGACCCAAAAGAAGGTTAAGATTGCGTCGGGACGCTTTTTAGTTCATATTACAACTGATGACATAGGAAAAGATCCTGGATTGACGAACGTCATCAGTTCTCCATTCAATAGATCAGAAACGCGATATATCGCGCCTGTGACGGTACAACTAAAAGACATTCTCGGTAGTTGCGAAGACGGAGATGTTGTTCTATGTGATGCACCAGGCTTTGGTGATACAGCAGGTCCCGAAGTCGATATCGCCAATTCATTAGGAGTTATTGAAGCTCTCAAACAGACAAAAAGTGTCAAATTACTTGTTTTATCAAGTTATAAGAGCTTAGGCGACCGAGGACAGGGCATTCAGAAGTTAACGAACATCTTAGTCAACATGGTAGACCGAATAGAAAATAAATTCGAGTCGATATTCTATGCATTTACAAAATATCCTTCCGAGATCAATGTAAACGCTGAACTTCTCGATATTAAAATGTCAAAAGTAGATAGAGATGAAGTTTTGGCAAGTAACAAGCCTTTTGTCGCAGTTTTAAAAGATATGATTGCAAAAACTGGGAGAACCGAATTAAAGGTCCATCCTATTCGTGATCACCCAAGTACATTGATGAAAATCTTGAAGAGTGGAACAGGAATTGAACATCCCGAAGAAGTATTTCGCTTTCCTATGAGTAGTGACACGCGCGAAACTATTAATAAGCATATTCAACGCGATAGAGGGGCGATCGACTGTGGAATGAAACTGAAAGATATGCATTTAGTTTCTTATTATTTGAACGATTTAAAAAAGCTGAACGATCTCCTGAAACAGGATGATATTCGCGAAATTTATAATAAATGCAAAAGTTCAATTCACGACAAAATTCAGGAATTTTGTCATGAAGTACTGAACAATTTTGCTCGTGTCATAAATAGTCAAGATGGATTAAAAGAAGATGACCTTCAAGATTATAAAATTGCAGTAGAATATCTTCAACAGACTGAGGCTGTCAAACAACACTTAGGCTCGTCTTTATCTCCATCGACTACGTTGAAGCATGGCATTGATTCACAGCTCGAAGCCAGACGAATTGCTTTGCAAAGTGAAGAATTACACAGTCCTATGATAGCAGTCTACTTAGAAAATATCCGTCTGTTGAAAGCTTCTTTCCGAGAGTTCGAACAGAATTATGCAAGTTCTTGTCAGAAATACGAGAAACGTTTTCAAGAGCTTTTACAATCCGGACAAGAGATTATTCTAACGAACGATTTCAAATCGATTGCTGAGGTTCTCTTGAAAATATCCAAAGCTGTTGATAATTTACAAATCCATATCCATGACTCAATCGTTGCGAAATATAATAACACAGTCCAATCACTTCTACGACGTTTAAGTCAATATTCCGATCAAGTCAACGTTACTTTAGCGAAGAGTCGAATCAGTAGCGATGACGTGAAAATCTTACAAGACATTATCGGCGTCTTAAGATCAGCCAAAGAAACATACGCGCTCCGAGAAGTTATCTCAAAACATCTAGCAAAGTGCGATGAGACAAAAGAATGCTGTCAAGATTTAGATAGCATCTACGAGCTATTTCTGACTAAGATCATCGAGTGCTTCGATAAACTAATCCAACAAATCGCGAATCTGATCGAAACAAATGAAGATAATACCTTAGATATCATTCATCAAACCATTGAAAATATAAAAACTATTCATAAAATACCCGAAGTTGAAATAAGAACTGTGACAGTATATTATAATATCATTGAAAGCATTCGGAGTTATATGACTCAACTACAACGCAATACACGTCAATCTCTCGACACTATTGATCATCAATCAGGAAACATCGACTGTAAAGAACTTTTGCATTCATTTAAACTTCTAGAGAATGCAAAATGGATGAATACTATATTACCAGGCTCCTATGATACTGCGATGCATCGTCTTAATGAAGAATTTACCGAATGTGTAGGTCAGTTCGAACAGCGTCTAAAAAGACTCGACTTAAGTTTGAAATATCCTGATCGTATCATTGTAGCGAAAGAAATTCTTGAGAAAACGGAGTATTTGTGTACCTTACAACCTGATACACAGGAACTAGCCATGTATCGGCATCGAATGTTAAACCATGTTGTTTATCGTATACGACTTGTTTACAATGAAGTTGCGGCAGATTTCGCTTGTTCTGATGAAACAGATCGTCAAGAAACGACTGATCCGAGACAATTTTTAGAGACAACATCAGTATTTACTCGTTCACATTCACAGAATAGTATAGATGTCGATATGTCGACCTATCTGTTCGTTGAACAACAGCCAACATTAGAAAGCATCAGAAGTGACAAAAGACAGTTACAGGAAAGCGTACGCAGACTTGAATCGTATGTCGACGAATACGAGAGAATTCTGTACGGTAACGGTCTATTGAATGCAGCAGTAAAAGTTTTTTCGCGCACGATAAAGCAAACCGAAAAAGTAAAACCTGTGGCAACAACTTATTTACTCCAGAAGGGTTATCATAACATCGATGCTGTAAGGAAGACGATCGCAAAGTTCAAGAGAGAATTAGAGAGTCTCAATAAACAAGAAAAAGTAATGAATGATTCTCAAATGCATCAGCAATCCAGCGAACCAGACTCTCGATCATCCGACACAACGAATGTCCCGATAAAACGTCGAAAATACAAATCAAGCAAAGGCTTAGTCGACAAATCACAAATGTTAGCGGCAAATAATGCTTTGATTTATTTTAAAAACTGCGAACAGATAGGTTATGATCGGATTAGAGTGATTGCCGATGATGCAATTGAAATAGTGAAACAGTATTTAGATAACTTCATAAGTTCATTAGAACAGAAAATCAACGAAGTTTTTGCCCGCGCGACTGAGATCGAAAATTATCGACGTGAAAATTCTTCGAAATATTCACAAGACATCGAAATCCACTTACAAGCGCTCGATTTTCTTTCGAGATTTTCCGAAGTTTATGAACATATTGACGGTCAGGAGAAATTAAAGAGTCATCAACAGCAATATCGCGATTATTACGAAACGTTGAAGAGTAGAATGGAGCAATACAAATCTTCTGGTCAAAGTAGAGAACTACGGGATCATTTGCTCATTGCACAAACATTGACTTGCATCGATCGATTTTTGCAAGGAGATTTTCTGTTGAATGGATATCAAGAATTATATAAAAAGTATCAATTCGAATTAATCCAAGATTGCGAAAAAGCATCAGCTATTGTTCTTGCTTGTATAGACAAGAGTGAATATGACAACGTTGATGCACAACTATCACATATGGATGAGAAATTCGTTAATCCTTTACATTTTGCGCATATTAAATATAGTCTTCAATCTTCTCTACATAACTTAATGAATGATATTGAACGTGATGTCAATAATCTCGAAGAGAAGTTGCAGAAAGACGAACAAAATCAACAATGTGTTCAAAATCTGAAATCTAAGATTAATAAGGTTCGATTCGTCTTGGAAAAACCGTTAATTATGAACTTACTAGATGAATATACTTGTGATCGTCTTCGAAACTTTTCCCAACGTATTGATAAAACTCTTTCAGTCATCTTCTTGAGTAATATCGAATCGATTGGGTATCTATTAGACACAGATCGTTTTGTTGAAGCACAGCAATTGATAGACATCGTTGTTGGTCTCCATCGAAAACTAGCGGAACATTGTAAATCGGAAGAGGTTTTCAACAGATTGGAAACCATTAATGAGCGAATGAATAATATTGTTCCTGAAATTTGGAGTCGCTACAGTCTCGATGATATGTATAATTATGTACTCAACCCGCCGAAAACGATTTTGAAAAAATTGGAAATAGCGGCATCACAAAGCGGTGCAAAATACGCGAAAGCTCATCAAGACTTATCGCAAAAAATTCAGCAATACTTAATAACAACGATAGAAAAGGAACGCACGTCTCCGTTGGTCGAACGGACTCATAAGATACGTATGTTAAATAATGTTGCACAATATTTACCCGATGACTTGAAAACTACATTTCAATCCAAGCTTGATGAATTACAGATCGAGACTATTGAACGAGAAAATGAATATAACCAAGATTTAGAGGCGTGCTTAAGGAATCTCAGCGATGATGACCGTATTATCGCAAAACTTGGAAAATTAGCTAAGGAGTATCAAAAAGAAAAATTGGATGGACTCTTCAATCGATTACGTGCGGAGGTTTTAAAGAAACTTTCTACTTATCAAACTCTTGTTCAAACTTCTCTAGACGAGCGAAATCTACCAAAAGCGTTCGATTGTATGAAGAAAATATTCGAGTATAAACAATATTTAAGTAATTCGATTTCCGAAACCGAAGAGATTAGTCAGAGTGTTATTCAGCTAACAAGAAGACGTTTTTTTAACTGTTGTGAGATTCTTGCGGGAATTTCGTCCATTGAACAAGCGTCTACAGTTGAAACAGCATTTAATGATATTCTTGTTTATCTTCATTCGTCTGAAATATTTGATAAAAAGGTCGTTCTTCTATTCTCGGATGATATTTTACACGATGCCACGCAGGAACTGGAGAACATGTTCCGATATCTACGAGATATCGAGAAACGATTTCGAATTACTTTGAATGCAAAGAATTTTCATCAATTAGGGCAACTACTGGTTATCTCAAAGAAGTGGGATCCATGTCTCGAGAAAATTAGGCAATGCCGATCGAAACATCCGTTTATGAAGAATTTCGTTAGTATAACGAAAAATCTCACTCAACATACAGACATGATCGATGAAGTAGAGAACTTAGTTCGTGTTTTCATCGAACAAGTCAACGTGGAGCTTGTTACTGATGATACGATTCGATTTGAAGTCAAACGTAATGAACTATACGCGAATTTAGCTATTTCGATGAACACGTTAAGAGCTATTGGTTCGAAATTGAATGATTTTTTGTCATCAATGATTGATACTGATGGATTAGAGAAAGTCTTGGAAGCAAAGATCGAAATAATCATCAATCAATTACTTGAAAAGATATCAAAAGAAGAATTGTCTCAAAAAGACACAGATGAATTTCGTATTTACTATAACCACCTAGCTTCATTTAGTAAGCACGTGAATCTCTTCAAAGCTCGCATCGAACAAGTTTTAGCAGCGTCCGAGGAAAAAATTACTACAAAAGTGACATTTTTGCATAAGCAAATAGTAACAGACAGCTTGCCGATTACGGGTATCGCTCCACTATTGATAAAAATGAAATTTCTCGCTGAAAACTTGTCGATGTTTGATCGGAAGATATGTGATGAAATCGATGAAACATTGAAAACTTACAAAGATCAACGAGGTATACTGTCTATCATGGCGCTAGTTGTTGAATTGGAAAAGGACGGTATTGGAATGAGATTAATTAGCGAACATTCTTGTTTGAGTGGAGAAAGTTGGAGAAGACGGCGTGATAAAATGCAAAAACAAGATGATATCGATTACGTGCTGCGAGAGTTATCTGGGGATGCGATTTGTCTACAGACTTTACGTACGCGCTATGAAACGTTCAGAAAAAAATACGATGAATTAATAACAGAGAATTTGAGATCAATCGATGTAACTAGAGAAAATAAGAGCGTTGACGTAGGAGCGCTTGTTACACAGATCAAATTCATGACAGGATCAGTCATTGATACATCGAAAGAGATTATTTGGCAGTATTCCTTCGAACAGAAGATTCCACAACTTGTAGCATATATTTTCGCTGTTTGGACATTGAAAAATACGCAACATTATAACACAGCACGTGGAATTGATGCAGCTAAATCGTATTTATTGATACCACATGTTGGACAAGTGATTACGATTTTTCGTCTACTTGGTATTGGTTATACATCTAATACGATGACCAGAATTTTTCGTTCTACATCGACAAAGAAGATTTCGGAGAGTCTAGTCAATAATCTAGTCGAAATAGGTACAGGGGAAGGAAAATCTGTTGTAATGGCAATCACGGCTTGCGTTTTTGCTTTGACAGGAATCGATGTGAACTGTTCGTGCTATAGCAAAGTATTGAGCACTCGAGATAAGAAAGATTTCAAATCCGTTTTTGAAGCTCTTGGCGTTGAAAATCGCATCAAATATGGGACTTTTGATAAATTATGCGAACAATTCCTAAATGAAAAATGTAATATTCGAGATCAAGTATCTGAAATGATTACGAAGAATAAGGATACCTTGCCTAATATTGATAAGGCTAATGGAACGAACCGTACCAATCCAAAGGTATTGTTGATTGATGAAGTTGATGTCTTTCTAAGTGATCGATTTTACGGTGGAACATATCGACCCGTAGTAATCCTAAATGATCCTCCTATCCGCGCATTGTTAAGCGCGATTTGGGAAAAGAAGGAGTCAATCACCGCGAATGAAGTGAAGAGCCTACCAGCATATCAAACTTGTGCTTTTCAATATAGTGATTGGATTTTTATTTTTCATGAAGCTATCAAAGATATGGTAGGTGCGTTACGATCGTTTAAGAGCCCCAAGTATATTGTTCGAAATAATAAGATTTGTTATGTTCAGGATGAATCTGTAGTCGACAGTATCGTATACGGCTATAACACTATGTGGGCATATTATGATGAACATAGTAAAGGAAATATTACTGAAAATAGTCTAGAGGAAAATGTCGGTCTGCTTGTGAATTGTGGAGAATTTTGTTATGCAGAAATGCCTCATGATTTCGCTTATATTGCCGGTGTTACAGGAACTCTGAAAACTCTTGCTAAATCAGAAAAATATACATTAACGAACGTGTATCAAATACATGAACATACTTTTATGCCGTCTGTTTTCGCGAAGAGTAATCGTACCTACGATTCTTCGACCGATGTCGAGGTAATGAATGATTCTGAGTATTTTATCCGAATCCGTCGAGAAATCGATTCTATACGGCAGGCTGAACGTGCGATTCTTGTGTTCTTTAAATCCCAAGACGCATTGATAGCATTTTACAATTCAGTTGAGCTATCTTCATTGAAAGAATCTGTCCAACTAATTACAGAGGAAGTAAGCACGGAGGATCGGGACCGATGTGTTAAACATGCAGCGCGTCAGGGACAAGTAACATTAATCACGCGGATATTCGGACGTGGTACAGATTTTATCTGTGATACTCCGCAAGTTTTAGCAAAAGGAGGTGTTCATGTCCTTCAAACATTTTTCTCCATGGAATTAGCTGAAGAATATCAAATTATGGGTCGATCGGCGCGACAGGGTGATCGAGGTTCATACCGAATGATTATATTAGACAAAGATTTAGAATGGGTTTTCGGCTTGACATGGAAAGATAAACTTCCGACTATTGAACGCAGCAAACTATATGAAACACTCCATACAGCTCGTCAGGCCATCTACGAAAGTAAATGTAGTGCAAAAAATCTTAGTTTAGAACAACGTAAGCTTGAGCATCAAGTCTCCAAAGACTTCGTGAGCGCATTATGTAAAGGTAACATAAGAACTGTAAAAAGATTTCTAGGTAAACGAAATAAAGGGATAGATTTGTTAGATGATTCTTCGCGTACGCTTGTACTTATCAGCGGCCCAGGTTCACTCTATGTCCTGTTGTCTAGTATGAAAGAAATAATTTGTACGATATTTCAACGTGCGTCAGCTATCTTAGACAAAATGGATTTACCGAGTGATGTAATTCAAATGCAAATCGCGGTTTACCAAAATTGCACTGTTCGAGGAAATGAGGTTTTGCAGTATTCTTCTTGGCATTCGAAAGGTAGTAGTTTACGAGCATTTCTTAATACGATTAACTATGCTAGAAGCGCTTTAGAGAATTCGATGGAAGTTAATTTACCAAATATCGATGTTATAGAAAAGTCTCTTTCACAAGTTATTTTTATTGGAAGTGCTTCCGTGAATATCACTCGGGAACGCTCCGATGACGAATACTCAGATAGTCTACATGAAATTAAGAGATTAATAGAGAAGAAAATTCCTATTCATACATTGTATTTAAATCATTCGGCCAAAGATAGCTTTCAGCAAATCGCTACTCAGACAGGCGGACGGTGTGAGCAGCTCGATATTTTTTCCAGTCATGGTGCTGAATTACTTACTCAGTTTATTACAGAAGAAGTGTTGAGAAAAGCAGCTGGAATACAAGGAAATAATGCAGTTCAGTTGTATCGGACAAGTTATGTGAAATGACCTTTTATTTCCTCTTATTTTTATGTGAAACATTACGCCTATCATTGTTTTAATATTAATCATGAATTCTATTCGACTTTTTTTTATAAATTGTGTGTGTATAAAATAAAACTATTATACAAATCTTTATCAGATAATGCTGACTCTCAGAGAAGAAAATGCGATCATCGAACAGATTCTCACAACGTTTACTTTGTTGAGAATATATTAACATCATTGAGTCAACAGTAGATACTAAACTATACTTTGGTTGCCATCCATATGAACGTTTGCTCCGATGAAAGCAGGTCCAATGGAAAAAGAAGAAACAAAAAGAGTTTCATTGACTACGATGCGTGTAAATATACCAATGGTTAATTAAAGATGGCGGTGATGTATGAAAGAACACTGACGTTCACCATCCGAATGCATGAAATCAAGTATGCCTATGTACCTCTATTTTTCTTTGGTCGCAACGTCTGGTCGGTAATAAGAACAATCTTCACTGATGGACAAAGTATAGCAATTAGAAACGATTTAAGCATAAACTTGCTTTTTCAACCGACAGCTAAAGCATAACTGACAAAAAGAATGATAACAAAGATTTGACCATGATGCATCCGTCTCTATACGCCTAATCACACAGCATATCAATATCGATCAGACGAGTTTCGTTGATGGTATAATTGTTGAATATCTATCAAAACACCGACATTATGGTATATTTACGAGGTAAGCAAACATATGACAAGGCGAAGTCACTGCTCGAACTCAACTTTCAGATCTCATTATTAAAACTGATAATAACTCACGATTTTCTCCTATGTCATTGATTTGATTGACTAGATAGAACGAATTACGTGAACACCAATGTATGTCATCATCACTTAGAGAATCTCATTGTCTCGAAGAGTAATTTAGCTGGATGCGACATGAAAAACTGTAAAGATTTTTATCTCATGGTTATTATCGTTTGAATGGCATTCTATTCATATTGTTGACATCAAATACACAAGATAGAAGATTACTGTCATTGTCATGACTTGTTCATCTGATCCTATTACAATCTTGTATCTGACATTATTTAGAAAAGCAGTACCGTCTAGTTCAGATTTCATAAAAGGAAAGAATAGGTATGTACGGGTATTCGACGAGCAAAGAGAATGATATTGAGCTCACAGTAATCTCAAATTAGTTTTCTCATGAATTTTTTGACCTATTTCATCTTGACTGACAAGCGGCAGATTCTAGAGACATGTTGAACTCTCCGATACTTTAATTAATGGTACGCAGTTGAAAGACTTTTCTACACAAATAGTAATGCTATACTCTGTTGATAATAATTGAAAGATTCAACGTTTAGAGACTTCTCAACTATTTACCTTAGCATAATTTTACGTTATACACATGATAGCAACAGATGTATAAGATCTATTAAGGGTAAAGTTCTATCACCTAACACGACCGTGACAGCTTAGTATAAATCCATTTTGTTGTTATTATTTAAAAATTACCAAAATACTTTTGAGGTCACAATATCCTTAAATAGCATGTTTCCTTTCGATGAAGCGCGTTCCTTATATAAATTACTTATCTTCTAGAAGATCCATACTTGAAAGAAAAAACTTCTTTGGCAATGATAGATCATCATTCATACACTCTTGTTGATTTCTCCATAAGTCTAATCGATCGCTTTTGGATATTTCTCATCTCTTTTCTTCTATCAATCCTTTGTTGTTTATTCATTCTCTATCATTTACTGTTCGATGTCGAACTACGTCGCAATCTTAACAATCATGCTATTATTATTCTCTTACTCAACACCTTGCTATACGAACTAACGAGTATTCCATTCCATCTCAATTATTACTATTCAGGTATTGTCTATCCATCAGTACCACAAGTTTGTTTGATTTGGATGTTTACTGATGGAGGATTGTTTACGCTTGCATTGCTGTTCGTCGCATGGACTTCAATCGAACGACATATTTTCATATTTCATGACAATTGGCTGTCGACGAAAAAGAAACGTTTATATATCCATTATTTTCCTTTGGGAATGATATTTGTCTACTGTTTTGCCTTTCATACCATCACTATTCTGTTTCCATCATGTCAAAATACATTTCAATACGATCTACCGTTGTGCGGTCGTCCTCTTTGTTCTTATAGAAACAAATTAGTTGGTATATGGGATACAGTGATTCACAATATTCTACCTACACTGACGATTGTTTTCTTTAGTATTACTAAATAAGTAAAGGTACGGGATTGTCCTGCCGAACTCTGTTTAGCTTATGTTTTTGCAGTACACTTAATTTTCGGATAGAATCCAAAAGTTGCGCCTTTATTTTAATTTTCGAGGTAGATATTACACCAGATACTAATAAATGAAATGATATAAAGTTAATCATACATGAGTAATCAAGTTCTATAGATCATCAAAAGACAGTCTATGCTTTTATCTTGCTTCCATCTTTGGCCACAAAGCCTAAATCGTTCTTTGCATCATTCATGTCAAGCCAAAGTTGATAGTTATCTGAACAGACAAAATACGTGCCACTCTGCTTTCGTACAAGAGCATCAAGAGCTCTGTCGACAAATTCACAAAGATCTCGATGACTGCACCACACTGTACACTCCCACCTATCGCCTGCAGCTTCATTCCGGGCATTAACCCAGCCAAATCGGGCGCAAATAGTGTTTTTGTCACGCGTCGCATGGGCTATTTGTTCGCCCAATAGTTTACTTTGAAAATAGGCTTGCTCGATTGGTGTAAACACACCGTCAATAGGAGGATCATTAGCCACAGTTAACTTTCGGATTGGAATCGAGTCGTGGAGAGTATGAGCCTCAATAGATCGGTACGGTTCTTGTATGAAATAACCAAGCATAGTTCTCACTGAACTAGCATAAAGAATTGACTGAACACCGGCTAAAAGATAAATATTTCAATACAAGACGTTCTAACAGCTCGATCGAAAAGTGTACATAAGTATCATCCTACAATTCAAACGATTCAATTGATGAAAAATCCGACTCAATTGTTGCTTACAAAGACATGATTAAAATCAAAATCAGAAATAAACTAGTTTGAAAGTATATCTTCTACAATGTTTTTTTTAGATCGGGTGAAGACAATTCGTTTAGTATTTACTGTACGTCAAATTCTACTAAATGACATTCCCAAGATAATACTCTCATGCTGCAAAAAAGATAGCTGAGTTTATGAAGTAGGTTTTATGGAAGATGTCACTACACTTAATTCGTTTTTAAGCAAACTGAAAAATCTAATTTATCAGTTACGTATTTATAAAATTTACCCATTTTCAACTTACGTGCTTCGAACACATTTCTTGTGCCTTCAACATTCACTCGTAGAAGTTTGTCGACGTCGGTTTCAAATGGTGAACTGACTGCCAGATGTATGACAATGTCAATTTTGAGTTCATCAAGAAGACGATGTAATTTTTCCCTATCTGTAACATCGCATTGGACAAATCGATCTTGTGGTATTGCCGTTCTTTGTTTATCATTCTCAGTTATGAGCAATTTTTCTAATTCATAACGAGTTGAAACATCGGTGGTAATATCAAGACCATAGACGTCGTATTTTAGAGGGATCTGAGTGTTCAAATGGTTGAAAAAGAGTCGGCCAATTAAACCAGATGCGCCTGTTACTAACACACGCTTTAAACTCATTTTTTTGTGCTTGATTCTCCAGTTACACTCAAAGAGAATGTAAAAAGAAAAAAAAATGTCGACAGGCAAGAAATGAAAGAGAAGAAATAAATCAACGTCCCCTCCCTTTCTTTTTCTTTCCTTTTTCCTCCGCTCGAATGGTAAAATTGAGTATACTTTGATAAAAGAAATGCAAGTAAACAGGCAATGTAGCTGTAGAATGCACAGCGTTTACATACCGATTGGAGTGAAAGTTTTGAGATATTCTCTATTTCGATTATATCTCAAGTTGAGAAAATGGTCAAATGAATTTAGAAGAAAGAGAGATTGTTGAGCTGAGACGGTAATGGGAGACGTATGTCATGTGGGATACTGGTGAGCTCCGATCTGTGAGATATGTGACACTGCTGATATTCATTTAGTATTATGAAAGAACGAAAGATAGTCTTTTCCGAACACGTGTCATTGATGTCCTATACGAAGATAATACGTCAATAGGATTCAAACTTCAAAGATTATTCCGCATTACAGGTACATGAGAAAGATTAAAGAAACATCCTCATCGTTAGTTAGACGAAAAATCTCAGTTGAAGGTCAGAATATAAAGAATCGTTCAACAAAACTAGGTGAAAGATAGAATTTTGTCTCGGAAGTCTTCAAAATAAACTCAAAGGTTTGGATTCTTTTCAAAAATAGTTTTTAGGCGCGTTTGCTCAATGATCGGAATTTGATTACGGCGTCGATCTATCTAATGTTCATAGATGTTTCATTTTCACCAGTACTTCTGCTGATACAATTTGTAGTTGATTTCTATCTAGTGAAAGTGACTGGAAACTATCACCGCAGCTTCTCGGTGGTCTTGGATAAGGTTATGATGTTATTACTCGAAACTCGTAGTTGATTGCCAGGTGAATTGAGTCCTTTGGCGAGAAGAGATTTTGTCATCGATGTTTTTTTCGTACAATAATCAAAGAAAAAGAATTTCTTTCTCCACGAGAAGAAGAGAAGAACATTGAGAATCTCGCTTTCTGATGTTTTCCGTTGGAATACTGTGAAAACAACATTTTCTTTCTTAACAAACAATTCCTCAAAAAAAAAGATATCTTTATAAATACTTTTCGAGAACAATTCATGTGAACTTATTAAGAAATGACGATATGAATAGAACCAACATTAATATTTATTTTTGTCGTCGAGAGAAAAAGACATTGGTTTTTTTTCGAGTTATTGAGCGTTCTATAGAAATCACATTCTATTCCGTAGTAATCAGTAGAGAATTTTGGTAGGAGAACAATTCATCTTCAACCAATCGAAAGAAATGTCAGAGAAGATTCGCCTATATTTCTCCAATGATGATTAGGAAAGAGAATGTTTTTGAAATGCGAAAATCCATTGGAACTAACATTGAATATTTGGATCTAAACGAATCACTTGATTGGTTTTTGCTACGATCAAATACATCAGATAGTTGTTCATTATTCGAATATCAAAAATAGCTGAATTCGGTATTGTCAAATTGCTAAGTTGTGTTCCTACTTGATCATAAATCCAAATAGTGTCCGTTTCATAGGCAAACCAAAATCGATTAAGATTATCGATTGTAACGCGAGCAGCTCCACCCAACTCGTTTCCGTTCGAGACGTTGAAAAGAAAATTTTCGTTCCACTGGGCATTCGTATTAGTTGCAGTAAATGAGTAAAGTAATTTGAGATAATAAGAGGTCACATAGAAAAATGTGTCATTGACACGCCACACTGCATGAGGACAAACGAAACTTGTTAATTGAGAAAAAGAATAAGTATATGTGATAGGAGAAATACTTGTACGATTTAGAAATATCAGAGATGAAGTAGCGCATGAAGCTACGATCATTGTTTGACCATTCTGAAGAAATATTAGACCTCGTATTCCAGATGAACTTGTTGTAATATTTGAAATGACTGTGAGATTTTCACTATCAATGACTGTGATTGGATCGGAATTTCCTCCAATATAATAAGAACCATTAAAATACGTCACAACATCTTTTTCGACACCTTGTGGAATGTTTGGAAGTGATAAGCGAGAGATTGTATTCAAAGTAGTTGGATCGAAACGAGTCAATTGATTGGTGAATTGTTCAATAGTTACTAAATAACCATGATCGTCAATGATTGCATCACGAGGATTTGGAACATTGATAATCGTCATATTAGCCATTTTCAATTGATTTAATAAAGAATTTAGATTGGACATACATTGACTAAGATTTGGAAAGACTTGTTGAGGAAAATAAAGACGAGTATTTCTTGTCTTTTCCAAATGATAACTGAGTGGAAAGGTTTGAAATAATTGACATGTGTTATGATTTTCAAAGCAATTTAAAGCAGAATACGTGAATTGGGAAGTACAAAGACATTGATCACATGTTCCATTCATTTCTTGCATAATGATTGGAAAATCGTCTCATATCAGAGTCATGTTTTCAATAAAGGGAATTTTTATTGAAAAATCCGAAGTTAGAGACGAAAAGAAAGAAAATTCGAGTAAAAACAAGAAAGTTCTCATGAAAATGTATTCCTAACAACTGAAAAGAACAATTGAGAATGACTTGTCGTTGAAATCTACCGAGAAGCGTTTCTTTTTCACTAACATCACTTACTCGATCATCAAATAACATGCTCGATACTCCGAAGAAACTTTTCTTCCCGATTCATTTTTCAATTATTCATACTCTTTGGAAATATTTGTTTCCGCTTCAATCTTCTCTTTCTTTGTCTTATAACAAATGCTCCATATCATTCCCGATCTTCTTTTTATCTGCAAACCAAATTGTTAATGACAACAATTTTTCATCAACTAAAAAAATGAAATGGAAAATCTACTTAACAGTATATATATATATATATGTAAAACTTCAAGTATGTATTGGAATTGAATTCAAAGATTGAGTGAGATGACTGATATCACTGCTTTTATTCTATCGTCAAATGGGATAAGTAATACGACCGATCATTTCGGTATGATGATTACCAACTTTATGATAATTAATAGTATCTCAAATAAAGAATGGATGAATTGTAAATTTCAATCGAATTCACTAAAGATGCCTAAACTCTCAAGTTTGACTTCTGAAGGAGAACAATCTAGTCAAGTAAGTGTTCCGTACCGATAGTCACTGAAGTTCATGAACCACGAAGAAACTAATGCGATTACAATCTTTAAACACAAGTTTACTCGATAAAATGCGATGAGGACTACGTAAACACGAGTACATATCTTCGTATCAGTAAATATAAGTGAGTGAATAACAATGTATCCCATCAATTCTAGAATACTTGTAGCGGTTATGGAAAGCAATGGAGTTATGGTGGAAGACACCCCCACCAATTCCCGGAAGTTAGCGGATGATTCGTTTTTACTTTTGCGTTTGGTAGTGGTGCACCCTCATCCTCACTTGGCGATTCCGTGTGTTATAAATTCTCTGTATCTTTTCTGTTATCTTCGTTGAGGGTGTATGATAAATTATATGGAGTAGAGGATAGTATCTTTTGATGCGTATACATTTTGTATTGATACTCACGCACCTGTGGATTCCAACTATGTAAACAATTGAACAAAACCATTTTCCCTTGATCGCTTGAAATTTAATATTTTAAAATTTTGTATGCCGAACTGAAATCCTACCTGACTATAGACCCTTAAAAAAGGTCCAAATGTAGATTGTAGGGATTTTCTGTATCTATATAAAAAAAAAACACATCCACCCTCAAGATGATTGTGGTTTTGAAGAAATCTTGGTTCTATAGGTTTCTTCACACCCTCAAGATGGAAGCGCAAGAAATGACATTAACGAAACAATAAAATAATCTATGACAAGGATTCTGATACTCTTTGATCGTTCGGTTACTTTGAAATGTAAGTTGTAGACGAAAGGGTTTCTTTTCTTATCTCTATTTTATGATGAAATCGACCAAAGCTTTGATACGAATGGGTGAAAGTAATCGTTTTATCATCATACGACATGATACTTGAAAGCAGTAAAAATGAGTATTATAAATCATATGTCTGATACTACTCAAAATTCATGTGACATCTGGAGAATGTTATAAACGATTCAATAGTTTTCGTCTTTTGATTTTTTAGAAATTCATAAAGATACTTGTAAAAGCTAATAAAACTTCCGTAGTCAATCCGAAAGAGATGTTTATCTCATTTCGTCAACAATCTTTAACTGCAATAATGTTCCAAGCATGTATTTCACAACGTGATATTCAAGTAGATAAATATCTCCTATCTTCAAATAAGTCATAAATTTATCAGGAATATAGATTTCTGTGACTATAAAAGACAGGTTTTTAACGCCTATACTATAGATATTTGTGTATTGTTTAACAAAACAATTCATCGATATGGTCGAATCTATCGAAAAAGCTACTGAAGATGAATATCAATTAGAACTAGAATGTATGGCAGACTCCACACCTCCGCAAACAATGAAACACGGGTAAAGTTGTTTTCATCATAAAATCAATCATATAGAGTAAATGTTTTAGACGAACATGGATGAATGTTTCATTTCTATTTCAAAAGAAAATCTTATGGATATCGTTTTTACTGTTAGCGATTGTCGGTGTTTCTACGGTTGTTTGGATCTCGAACCATTCAACTAGGAAGAAAGGTAAATCAAAATGATATTCGAGAGAAATTTAAATAGAAAAATCCATGAATAGATATGGAAAATGATGAAAAGTTACCCCAATTACGATCATATACGTCGGGAGATGTGAGTATTTTTGATTGTTTTTTGAGTAATTTTTCTTTTCCCTCTGAGTAGAGATTTCGAGAACGTGATGATATTGGCTATATGAATGTTTTTCTTCGCAAAGATGCTGATGATAGACGACGTCAACCAGAACGAT